GTGTGTGTGTGTGTGTGTGTGTGTGTGTGTGTGTGTGTGTGTGTGTGGAGAGAGAGAGAGAGAGAGAAAGAAAGAGGGGGAGGACCTCAGTCTGGCTCCTGGTCCAGGCAGGGAATGAGCTGTGGGAGTTATTCCTGGAATGTGGAAAAAGTGGCTGGATTACATGTATTCTGCTACACCCTGCGTCACTACACACACTGTTACCACGCCCACAGAGTGAGGCACGCTGAGAGTGCCTCTCTCCTCCGAAGCGGATGGAAGTGAGTCATATTGAATTAATACATTAGAGTGAAAAAGTCAATCTGTGACTCTTAATAAGAGACAATAGGCCTTTTTCACTGGAGACGTTTTGATTCGTCATCGTAGCAAAAGCAAAGGTGTTACTAATTTATTTATGGTAGCTTTGTTCTGGTCAAGAGTCCCTGTACACCATGAGAGTGAGACAGTGAACCAGGATTCACAATACCAGAACCCTGAGACTGAAGCATTAGTTATATCATTATTTACTGTGCTTTTCAGACTGTGACGTGTCAAATTGTCTTGGTGAAAAAGGTCTGTCGTATTATCTGACCAACTTTTACCACCACGTTTACAACAAGGACGTTGTTTTGTGAGGGGGTTTTCCCCGGGAGAGTTGACATTTTTGGAGACACACGATTTCAGCATTGATATGTTTATGTTTTTAATCCTATTCTTTGTGAGTAACTTGCAAAATACTGCATGAATGCGAAACATGCAAGGATTTGCTCAGTTGACAGAAATCTTACTAATCTTAATCTTGTTCTTCTGCACATGTGAACTGCTGGATGTGGGTCAATTTATAAGTATGAAGAAAATTAGTTCATCAATATGTAGGTGCAGATTTATACATAATCCAAATCAATATGCAAACAAGCTCTATGACAGCAGGTGTGGTTCATCCCAAAAAACAACACAGCCTGATAAAACAGCCACAAACAATTAACGTTTTAATAAAGGACATAGAAAAAGTACGTAAAAAACAATACAAAAGCCATTCTTCATCACCTACGCTCACAAGCAGCTGCTCAACAGAGTGTTTGCAGAGCAGAAAACATAAAAAACATTTAAATGAGGACTACATATACAGTTTCAATGCATGTTGGTCTTCATGCAGACAGACCTTCACGGACCTTGACTTCTTATCACACACTCGATATCAACGAGCGTCTCTCAACCAAACGGACAACAAAGACTTGGTGAGACGGACAGAGTGTGCGCTGCTTTATCTAAAACCGACTGGGTGCCCAGTACGTACACATGTTTTCTTATCCAGTGTCTTAGGGTCAACACGTTCGATACCTCACACACTCTTTTGTGGGAGAGAGTGTGTCTTTACGTCAGGTGTTGTGTGTCGTAATCACAACTCAAGGTCCCTCAGTCATTCAGGCCTTTTTGAACGGACACGTCTCTAGATTTGCATTTCAAAGTCTGTGCATCACGGGATAATAAAACTTGATTTAAAAAAAATGTATAAAGAAGAATAACTTCCTGGCTTTAACAGATCGATAGATTGAATCTATAAAGAGAAGTCTGTGGATGTATTGCTGGAACACAGAAGTGTGAGGGTCATTATGAAGCTAGTTAAAGGAACTGTGGCCATGGACTTGTTTGAACAATGAAAAGTAAAGAAAAGGTCATCGGAATATATGTAGCTCTTATGCGACACGTGCTAACTGAACACACTCACGTGTGGTGGAGGTCAACCCTAAACTAATGCCGGGTGTCTTTTTTTTCTTCTTACAACTTTTAGCAGTTTTAGTAAAAGAGCCTGCTGCCTCTCGTCTGTTTAGCCCCCTACGACAGACTTGCTGATGGGATCCATTAGTTCCTAGAAACCAGGACCCCTCCCCCCTTCATCGCTCTAAGGAGCAAACACTTCCACCTCTAACACAGACCTCACTGTCGACGTCCGGTTTAAAACCGCGCTCGTTCCCACAACCCACCACGTGCCAGGTTCCCTCCTCCGGGGTGACGATGTACATTCGACATGTTTCTCAGTGGCAGCCAAACCTGCGTACAGAATAAACATGGATATGAGGTACAGAAAGGTTGTTTATGTCACCTGGATAAAGAGCGTCTGTATTTATTTATTTGCATTACCTTTCTGAGAAGTGAGTCGAGGTTATATGTTGATGTTGTATTTAATGTTATGCTGGAGGCATTGGCCAAGTTGGGGATAAGGTTAGGTTGGGGCAAAGCAACATCTGAACGAAGTGACTCTACGTTGTAGTGTCACACTTTTCCTTTGTGAAAAGATTTAAATCCTGGGACGTTCGGGGGGAAAGTTTCAGCAGTTTAATTAAAAAGGTTGTCCTGCTTCACAAGGCAGTGGTGAAATGACAAGACTGACCCGTGTTTGTGTGAGGCCTCCTCCTAGTGGTCAAACACAGGCAGTACATCAACAGATTGATTGATTGAAGTTTGAGCTCGGATGCTACAAGGCTTTTATTCTCATCAAAAGATTGTGAAATATGTGATGAGTCACTGAATGTCAATGCAGCAGTGCTTTTTGTTAACATAGGATTTAGATCGCCTCGTTTCCTCTGTTACCAGCTATTGGTAATATAGCTGTAAATAATGAAGTTATTTTTGTTATTGATTAATCTGCTGATTATATTAAGTCAGAAAATGGTAAAGATGGATATCACAATATCCCAGAGCCCAAGGTGACATCTTTAAATATCTGTTTTTGGTTCAATTAATAGTTTAAAACTCAAAGATATTCCATTTACTATCACACAAGGCAAAGAAAAACAGCAAATTTACATCATTTGGAAACTGGAACAAGCACATTTTTAGAATTTTTCCTTGAAAAAAATCCCAAAAGCTTATTTTCTGTCAACTGGCGAATCAGTTTATGAATTCAGCACTACGTCACACAAAAGACAAACATTTGCTTTTACTGTGATTTATTGTTACGTTTCGAGTTCCAGCGACGATGAGCACAGCACAACACAGACAGATCCCGATAATTTAGAGGAGAAAAAAGGTTGATGCTTTGGTTGTATGTCGTTCACTCTACCATAACGGAAAAAAGTACAGTACTGAACTTGGCGAGCTGTACACACGTGCATTGACATTATGCCCTAAAAATACATTCTATACAGTATATCCAACACCGTACAGCCGTGAGGCGTTCACAAGCAGAGAGGAGCCACTGTCCCTCTGGTCCTTTGTCTTGAAATCAAACACAGAAAAAGTGCCAAAGTACATTGAACAGTTCAGAAATCTTAAAATCACCACACAACTGAAGGAGAAGCAATTAAAGTTACAGTACTCATTGATGGAATACGACCTCATGATTCATTAAGTCTACGATCAACAGTTATAAGTGCTTACATTGGAAGTATATGCAGCAGCAGGGTTGTTTTCGCACTGTGCCTTTCAGTGACCTGGACCCAACTCCATTAAACCTCAGTCAACTGAGGTGAGTTGCTAAAGAGCTTCTGAGAAGTCTGGAAACACCCTGCGGCCACAGCGGGCTGGATCCACAACTCCCAACAGTGAGCGCTGGTCACAGATATGCGATGTGCACACACCTCTGTCATCACAGTGGCTCCACGCTGGCTGGCTGTTGTTACAACACAAATCCCTACAGTGAAGCAGAGGTGAAAACATCTGGTCTGTGTGTCCAGGTAAGAGGAAAGGAAGGTAGTCGCTGGGTGAAAACACAGCTCCGTCTCAAAACATTTTCTGTTTACATTCAACGTTGTTTGCGTCACTTTACTGGATCCCGCCAGTTCTAACTCCTCGGGTGAGTTAAGGACTCACTTTGGATCACAATTTGTCCCCCAAAAAAAAGAAGAGAAAATCTGGATAAATACAGGAAATGAAATGTCTTGTTGTGTCAGAGTTTAACTGACTAAACCGTCATTCCTCTTAACGAATGCTGGGTTGTGATGGCAACACTATAAGCATTTATAAACACTATATAAAGATTGAACAAGTGGTTTATAACACACTATATTGTACTTGTAAGCAGATATACACATTCATGTATTTGTCAACAGCTATAACTCCTCCTACAGTCAGCTAAAATATAGTAAAACACAAAAGTAATAATATAAAATACGTCTTCATAGGAGAATTACATTTACTGTAAAAATGAAAATGTGCTTATAGTTGCGTACAACTACATTATAGCATGTTATCAACCATTTATTAACTGCGTTTATATACTGCTTATAAATGGTAAATAGTGGGACTTTACAGTTTTAATTGTTGCAATTACACATGGCTTCATGATATTTGCAGTATATTTTCTAAGTTGAGCTGATTCCCAGGAGTGTTTTTAAAATCTGCACACTGACAACATTCTCATAAAAACTGATCAAAGACGCTCCTGAAATTGCACACGGAGATAAAAAGCTGATGTGATCCGTCTGTGTTCACGCTCTTTCACACTGAGGCTCCGACAGAGAAACAGTTTAATGCAGCGATGTGCATACTCCCATTCATTTGTGCATTTCATGATATTGTCTGTGTAGCGTTTCCACCTTGATGTCGATACGCATCTGTTCCTGTTTGGACGGTACTGTCCCATCTATTTGAGTCCTGTGACATTTGACTGAGGGTGGATGGATTTATTTACTGTAAATGCAGGGCTTGACGAGGTGGGGTGTCCCTTCACGCCCTCTTCTCTCCCACCTTATGGTACAGTTCAGGACTCCTCGTCAGTGGCACTGGGGGTGCGCTCCTGGAGGAGAGATACAAGAGACAACTAGAGAATGTCTGCTACATAACATCTGATAAGATAAAGTTGGTAGAAAGATATAGTTAAGAATGGAGAAGAAATGTCGTCACCTGAGCACATCCGTCATTCCCTTCTCTACGTAATACAAATTTTTTTTAAAGTTCAAAAATATTCTTACTCTCTGAAGGGATATAACTGGACAAAACTATGGTGGGTTGTAAAAAACACACACACACACACACACACACAGGGAGTTACCTCTTCCTGCTCATCCTCAGAGTCGTCATCACTGACAACAGGTTTGGCTCTGGTGCGTCCTGTTCGTCTGCTGCGTCCCTTCCCTCGATCTCCACCCTTATCCTTCTTTCCCAGACGGATCTTCACTTTCACTGAGCGAGCTGGAGACAAACGCACACGCACATACACACACACACACACACACGAATCATGTTTACGGTATAAATAAAGATTCAAGCGTGAAAAAAAGCATTTTGTCATCAAAACAATGTAACTGAAGGGGAACATAGTGTGTGTTTCATGTGATAAAGGGTCAGTGGGAAAAAGGACATCACAACAAGTACAACTCAAATCAACAATAAAAGATAACTTACATTATACAAACAACAACAGACTAAAACTTAACAACAGTCCTGTGCCGCTCTCTTCACTCGGACACGGAAGCTTACATTCAGACTCCGATCCTTCCTCCAGTTCCTCTTCCTCTTCCTCGCTCTCCTCTCCCTCACTTTCCTCCTCCTTCTCGATCTTTTGCCTCAAACTGGTAAACACTGACTGGAGGACTATGGAGTCTTCATATATCTGCTCACATGGTAGAAAAGAACTGTTTACTATCAACATCAAGTGCATAGAGGTAACAACGGTGCTCTCAGCGACCACAGTTCATGTGTGATTTTCAGCGATTTATGATGGGGGCCGATAGAGAGGAAAAGTCATCCGCCATGCATGATGTAGGCGTCTGCTGGGCCAGTCATGAACAAGATGCATATATTCTAAGGTGACGCTGCAGTAACAGCTTTAAAGGGACAGCTGAACCCAAAAATACACATTTCTCCTCTTACCTGCAGTGCTATTTATAAGTCTAGATTGTTATGGTGTGAGTTGCCAACTTTGGGAGATATCAGGCGATTCCTCTCCATTATAATGGGATTATGCTGCATTTTCGAGATAATCCACAGACCTTGTTGAGAGTAATAGTATATCATTTATTTCCAAAACTAGGCATCTCACACTAATACAATCTAGATTGATAAATAGCACTACAGGTAAGAGGAGAAAAATATGTATTATTGATTTTATTCAAAGCCTTCTGGTCATGTCAATCAGGGTATGTATGTATATAACAAAAGAGCACAGTAAATACATGTATAATGTCCTCCAAGTATCCTAAATAAAGGACAAGTAGTGGCTGAGATATGAAAGTAAGACAAATATTAATTTCTGCAGTGGGTAAAAATCAGACGTACACCGAGTGAGAGCCGTATACTGAACAGTACACAGTCCAGACGAGGACAGCAGCTGTTTTTCTGCATGTGTGAGTGAAGTAAGTCTCACCAGCGATCCCTCCAAGTTGAAGGTCTGAGCGTTTTGGAAGAGCAGCATGACGTCTCTCTCCATGTCACCCAGACTGCGGTAGCGATGACCCCGAATCCTCTCCTACAGCGAAGATACAGTATGTGCAACACTGAATATATAAGACAACGCCACATCTGTTGACCTTAACATTTTCTTTATTGTTGTTGTTGTGTGTTTTTTTTTTCCTTCTGATTAACCTTGATCTTCCTGAAGTCCACAGGCTTGCGGATCAGTTCGTAGTACTCCGGCAGCTCTTTTCGAGACGGCAGCTGGATGAACACCTCGCTCAGCTGACGCCCACTGGCGCTGCAGGAAACGACATCATCAGGATGAGACAAAACACTTTTATCAACACCTGAAAGCTGATTGAATTCAGCATATCAAATCCCCCTTCGTTCATTTATTCTATTCAAACACTATGGGTGAGAGATAACTGACTCTTGACATGCTTGGTGACTAATTCATAACTTTAGTTCTTTTTTTCATTGAGTACTGGTATAAAGTGGTGTCCGTGTGTTTGATGCCATTTGTGTGACATCTAATGGGTTAATTCATAAGCACGACAGTCTAAATGTCTGATCGGTGATGTTTCGGTGAGGGCAGAACAAAATCAACTCAGGAAATGTGCGTGAGCTGTTGTGAAAAATGCAAAGGGACTTTTTTCAGTTTCTATAAATGTTCAGGGAAGTGCACCAGAAGCAGCAGAAAACGTGTGAGCTACCTGTCTTTATACTTGATGACGGCATCCACGATTTTCCTCATCTTCTTCGAGAGGACGGGGGGGTTCGGGGAGAGTTTCTCAGCAGGCGGTCGTCCCCTCTTCCTCTGCCTCTTCCCATCCTCATCTTTGTCCCCTCGTCCTCGTCCCCCCGAGGAAGAGGAGGGACCGGGGAGATCCAGGTCGCGGTCCCGCTTCCTCTTTCGGGTCGTCTTTTTGTGACGCACCTCCTCCTCGATCTCCTCCAGCGTGCCCTCCTCTATCGCCTGCACGGGAAACATAGACTGCAAGATTAAAACAAAGGTATTGATACCACAAAATGGAGAGTGGACCCTTTACTCCAGAAAGCAAAGAGCTTTGATTTTGTATTTGACATCTGGTTCTCTGCCCTTTCCCCATTGAGGCTAATGACCTTGAGCCACTGCTTCTCCGTCAGTGAGTCGCTGTAGTCCACCTCCTTCCGCTGCCGAGATCCGCGTCCAAACAACTTCTCCTCCTCCTCCTCGCAGGTCAGTCGTTCAACCTCGGCGTCGTCCTTCATGATCCAGGTGGGCAGCTCGTCCTCCTCCATCAGACGAGGTTTTCGCCGAGGGTTACGGGCCTCCTCGCGACGGCGGTCCATGTCCATGCGCTGAGGGAGGGAGACGAAGAAAAGAAGGGCAACGTAACGAATAAGTAGGGAGAGGAGTTACGTCTGTATGAGCTGTAATTTAGCCTCCGAACACTGACCATGAACTGGTCGAACTCCTCCTCGCTCCTGGCAATCATCTGGTTGACCGTCTCGTCATCTGGCACCTCATCCTCCTCCTGAACACAGCAGGCACACATTGGCAAGCAGAGCATAAGTAAGCTCACTCTTTAAAAAAAAAAGGTGTTTCCGGTGCACGCACGCACACACATTAATGCGTAGACACACTTCCTGGCCCCAGACCTCATCTTGCTCCTCGTGTTCCAGAATGGCCTGCAGGAAGGCCCTGCGCTCGTGGCTGGAGGACTTTTGGTCAAACATGCCGGCCTGAATGACCTTTTGGTCCACGTTCAGTTTGTACTTGGCAGCGGCCAGGATTTTCTCCTCAACGCTGTTGATCGTGCAGAGGCGCAGCACGCGCACCTCGTTCTGCTGACCGATGCGGTGGGCTCTGTCCTGAGCCTGCAGGTCCTGGAGGAGGACAAAGACAGATACTTCATAATTGCTGGTCAGTCACTCACACTTCTTTTTTTGCAAGGATGTATTATAATTCCTATAGTTGTAAGACATTATAATTACTGTTATAATGCATTATAATGTAATTATAAGTTAGTATAAGTGGTCATTGTTTGCTTTAAGTAAAGTAAAAATAACTTTTACTATGTTTTAGAATATAGATTTCATCCTTTTTCACCTTACTTAAATCAAACAATGACCACTTAAAGTAACTTATAATCACATTATAATGCAACAAACGGTGATTACAATGCATTATAAAAAAAAAAAGAGTATAATGTGTTACTATGGGAATTATAATACACGATGATCCTTGCAACAAAAAGAAAAAGAAGCTCATAAGTCAATTGAAACATTGTATAATACTGTGAGACATTAATTTTCTTTTGGTTTACACTATTCTCTTGTTGATCTCAAACAAACTGACTACTAGTAACCATTTACTGTCTAAACTGCCTCTGCTACATCTGAAAGCAAATTGAAGTTGCTTTGATTAAACGGTGTCTTTTGTAAATGAAAAGAAACGTGCATCACACCTGATGTGGGTTCCAGTCAGAGTCAAAAATAACCACTGTGTCGGCAGACTGCAAGTTGAGGCCGAGGCCTCCAGCTCTTGTGCTCAGGAGGAAGATAAAGTAGTCTGACCCTGGTTCATTAAATGTCTTCAGCAACATTCCTCTATCGTCAGCTTTCGTAGTGCCTGAGATGTAAGAGGTGGACAAGAGAGAAGAAAAGCACATGAAGGAAAAACAAGCAGCAAAGTGTCACAGGAAGATTTCAGGGAAAAATAATTAATGACATTCACAACCATCTCCAAGTGAACTGTCTCACCATCCAGACGCAGATACTTGAAGCTGCGATAGGTAAAGTAGTCCTCCATGATGGTCATGAGCGTGGTCATCTGACAGAAGAGCAGCACTTTGTGGTTTGTTGCGTTCAGCTTTGGCAGGATTCGATCCAACACCTCAAACTTTCCCGATGCTCGATACAGGTCAGGGCTGACGTAAAGGTAAGCGGTGTGGGTTACAGCGTGTGTGTGTGTGTGTGTGTGTGATCTTGACCTAAAGAGGAATTAGCACTTACCCCTGGACTATCCCACCAGAGAATCCTAAATGTTCAGAGAAAGATTCCTACAAAAGCAAACAAAAATGTATTCTTTAATTCAGTCATATACACAAAGTATATTTACACTTTAGTATGAGGCTTCAGTTTAAGAGCTTGTACCACTAAGCTTCCTATTGAATTTCCAAGTCAATCTAGTGTGTGAAAAGAGATTTTTTTGCATGGATGTTTCTGGATTTTACACACCGTAAATGCCACTTTTATCCAAAAGCACTTTACAAGGTTTTTGCCGATCATTCACCCATTCACACTGATGGCAGAGAGCTACCACACAGGGTGCTGGCCTGGACGTCAGCAAATAGGGAGCAGTGGATTAAACCTCTCTACCTCCTTATGTCCTGACAAATTTACACAGAACACAGTGAAAGAAATAACTGAGAGACTAAATGTTTTTGCATCACCTCTATTTGCTGGAAGATGTACGGGTGGTTACAGATCTTCCTCAGCTGCATGATGGTGTTCATCAGGGTCTTTGTGCCTCCTTTACCCTGGTAAACGCAACCAGACAAAACGTACAGCTTGTAATCACAACGTTATTATTTCATTCAACATTGATTCATAAAGAGTTGTCCAAAGGCAGTCATCGATTCTCCCTCGAGGCTTCAATTAAAGCAATACGTATTTAAAAGTGAGAATGACAATTAAACTTCAGCACCAGCACAAATAAATAAAGATCTATTTTCTTTTCATTTTGAACATTTCCTAAAAATTCTTTATGAATGACAAATACGCAATTCAAGTCTTTTCTCACAGTGAAAGCCAAATGATCTAGTAGACCCGCCTCCTTTAATACATCTCCAGGTGTGATCATATAAATGATGTAGTGCCACATATTGTTTAGCCTATTATGAACTAGAATTACTACTTTGTGGTTGTTTACCTTCACAAACCAGTCAAGTTGCAGTTCACAGCCATGTCTGTCCAAATTGTCATCACTTCATCATTTTATCTTCAAAGACATTTGTGTGAAATTTTCATAATTAGCATATGAATTTTTTAGAAATGTCAACTTGAATCCAAGTGGACTTTTTTGGCCAAATTGCAGGCGTTCATGAAATATTGCTTTCACGTGAATTGACCGAACCAGGAAACACAATGCCTCCGGCCACGGCTGTCTTGTTTCACAACTATCATTTCCAAAATTGAGAACATTTTTGATTATGGAAAGTAAATGGACAGTATGGGACACATCAACTTCCTAAAACACAAAACTGAGTTATTTTGGTTCTATTGATGCCTAAGCCAAATACCCACACAGTGTTTGTGTCCTCACCTTCTTGTCCTTCTCTGATCCATCAGTGAGCAGGATCCCCTTAGCCTGCATGTGCCTGTACAGCACCCTCTGAAGAGACGACATGTCACACTTGATCACGTATTCCACCTGACGGAGAGGAGAGACGGGGGGAACTAATGAAAGAAGTTTACCAGCATTGTAATCATTATATTATTTAAAAAAATACTAGTGAACACTAGAGGTTTTCTTTCCCATCCATTAGGAGATCATCTGGACTAATATGTGCTCGTCTCTTCTCATGTGTTAGTATATTAGTTAGCTGTGTGTGCTAAATTAGGTGAAACATGCCTTCTCTGGAAGCTGTGCCTCCACTTCCTTCTTTAATCTGCGTAACAGGAAGGGCCGAAGTACTTTGTGGAGACGACGGATAATCAAGATGGTTTCCTCTTCATTGAGGTCCACCTGCAGAGTAAAAGAGGCAGACATTTGGCAATTTTACCTCGTGCCTGTCGTCATCTGTCAAAGGCTTTTCTTAAAATAAGCGAATGTGACGTGGCTACAACCGAGCCCTTCTCTCCACCTTCTCTCCGGTCATGGCGAATGGGGCGTTGAACCACTGCTCGAAGGTGATGCAGCTCTTGAAGATGGTGGGCAGGAGGAAGTTCAGCAATGCCCAGAGCTCGGGTAGTTTGTTCTGCAGCGGCGTGCCCGTCAGCAGGACCCGCCGCGGGGCCAGGTAGTGGGTGTTCAGGACCTGGGTCAGCTTGCAGTGATGGTTCTTCATCCGGTGGCCCTCATCCACGATCATGTACTTCCAACGAATCTGTTGGGGTTGAGGAGAGGGGAGGAGCATGTCTGGATAAAGTTGCTGCTATACTGTTTAACTGCATCCAAATCAACCAAAAAACAGAAAGTGCTCAGAAAGAAACATCTCTTGTCCTCTCTGTCCTCATGAGGCGCGCTGGCTCCGGCCCGAGCCAAAGCTTTTTGAGCGATTCTTGCCTGAACTACAACACCCACCTTTGAGCAGTCAGGAAGCCTATATGACTACATGAGAGCTTAGCAGCATGACGGCCACAGAGGACAGTGGGGGGGACGCGGTATACAGGCGGTGTCAGTGTGGCAGCACCTAGGAGAAAGCACTGACACGCAGCACAGGGGGGTCAGATTGGCCAGGATGAAACACTTTCAGACTTTTGGGGATTTAGGGAGTGGGAGACGACAAACGAAAAAAACACATCGAAACCTCAAGCAAAGTCAAATGATTAAGAAATAGGAATGACACTATTACTGCCTGGGTGTGTTTGTGCGGGTCCTTCCGCTCCTGTTTGTTTGCACATCCGTTCTCACCTTGGCCAGTACTTGTTTGTCCTTGATGATGTACTCGTAAGTGGTGAGTAAAACGTTGAACTTGCCACTGCGCAGTTGGGGGAGGAACGCTCGTCTGGCAGCAGGAGACCCCTGAAAGCCAAAAAAATGTAATTACAGATATATTTTAAAAAATTCATATATATATAGTATGTATAAAAAAAACAACTTAAACAGGTCACAATATTTGAAATAAGTGCATCTTTAGAAACACATGTTCTTGGCTGCAAAAACCCACCTTGTAGGACACTTTCACCACCGTCGGCGCCCACTTGTCAAACTCATACACCCAGTTAGAAAGAGTTCTGTCAATGAGAGACAGCTCTGTTGTCATTCGGCAAAATCCTTTTTTTCTTTATTTGCAGTGTAAATCACTTCCCGCACGAATGAGAACAAAATTAAGAGGTTACACTAACGAGAGGGGTACAATGATGAGGGAGGGCCCATTGAGCCGTTTGTGCTCTATGAGGTACGTGATGAGGGCGATGGTCTGGATGGTTTTTCCCAAACCCATCTCGTCCGCCAGGATCCCATTCAGGTTGTTGTTGTAGAGGGAAACCAGCCACTCCAGACCTTTAATCTGACAAACACATCAAGCAAAACATTTACCTCCCTTGTCAAGTCCTAAAATTAAACATGTCTTTGTGCAAGAGAGTGACTATCATGTAATTGATCGCATTGGGCTTTGTTCACCTGATACTGTTTGAGTTGTCCATTTACTAACAAGGTGGACTGTTTCTCCACCTTCTCTGTGACAGCGTGAGCCACTGAATAATAAGACTGGAGGGTTCGGGCGAACGCTGCGCCGCTGTACTCGTCATCCACATCCTGCTTAGCGTTTCTGCAGAGGACACACACAGCAGCTTTATTCGATAATTTTGTAAATACCTGTTGAGCACATGCTTTGTTTTGTTTACGGTGGCCCATAGAACATAACTGGTACAAAAGTGTATTTAAGTGCGATACTCCATATGCGTACTCACTCAATGATGTGCCGGACGTCCACCTCCGACACGTCCTCGCTGTCAGGGTCTGTAATCTTCTTCTTTTCCTCCACCTGGGTAGCTGATGGCTGAGGCTCCTCCTCTTCCTCCTGCCAGACAGCTTGTCAGTGACCGGTAGCAGTGAATGTGAAACTGGCTTCAAGTCAACATGTCTTTTAAAACCACCCACCTCCTCCTCTTCCTCCTCCTCGCTGTCTTCACTGTCTGAGCGAGGAGCCACCTCATAACTGGACAGAATACGGGCATACTCAAATTAAGTCGACTAACGGACCCTGTATCTGCACATTATTACTGTACAAGTCATCCTCATGCACATGTCTATGTTTAATCACACACACAAAAGCCCTAAAGCGTATTAAATAAAAGAAACTAGCTAAAGGAAGCCATGCTAGCAGCCCTGTGAGGCTATACCGTTCATAACATACCAGGAAACAAACATTATACTGTCTGAAAACTGGAAGGACAACTTCAACTCAGACCGAGTGGTACTTCCGGTATAGTTAGGCTCAGCTGTGCTTTGAAGTGATTGATAACGTAGCATGCTAGCATGAGTTAGCATAAAAGCTGACATACGTGGTAACAACAACCAGACATTAACATGCTGACAGGTAATATTTAACATGCTTATGTTTAGCAATATAATGTTACGCTAACTAGCATACAGTTATCATGTTTTTGCTGCAAGACAAATGAACCCTGGGGGACAATAAAGTTAAAGTTGTTCATTTAGCATGCAAATGTGCATACAGTTAGCACCTTTACCATGCTATGTAGCACTGAATCATCTAAGTTACAACTAAAAGTCGAGGCAGTTGATGGTGCAAGATGAAAAGTCAAAGGGGTCATCACATATTTATCATTTTTTCCTCTCTGGACCTTGAATTTCATGGACATTCATCCCTTGTCAAGATTCAGTATTTCGATAGGGCTGGGCGATGAGGAGAAAATCAAAAATCGAATAATAATAATATTATATTTTTTACCAAATACGTCAACAACAATATGTTATGGTTGACCATTGGTGCTTTTACAACATATTTACACAATGACATTTTTGATAAATAATCATCAGTAATGTGGCCTTAATGAGTAAGTGGATAAAGGCAAATGATAGAACAGCTGAGTTCAGAAAAGAACATCACTTTACTGTAATGCATTGTCAAAAACCAGGAAAAGACAACACTAATGCCATATTACGATATCCAAAATCTAAGATGATATCTAGTCTCGTATCAAGATATCGATATATTGCCCAGACCTATCAACAGACCAACAGACTGATAGACATTGCAGCACCTACAGCCACATACACACACATTCTCACACATAAGCCACTCTTCCTCTCTCCAGCCGGTCTCACCCGGGGTTCATCTCCAGCCAGGTCTCCAGCTGTCCGGCTTCAGGAGCGTCCACTCCTGTCAGGATGTTCCCACTGTCCACATGGATGACCTTCACGGGCAGGTCACTCATCTGACTCGTCTCATCCAGAGGCTGCAGGGGACCAAGCAAGTTATCTTTAGGACAGGGCTAGTTTCCTTGCACTGGGTTTAAATGGTGGCTGATGGTTAAGACTGTGTGTGAAAGTTGAGTTTAACAACCAATAAGTATCGAGCAAATATCCAATTTAAGTACAGTGTAGGCTGCATGAATATTATTTATACCCGTATGCACACATGGCATTGAGTGGTCAAGAGTTGCAGATAGCCATTGGTTTCAGATATGTATATATAATACGGTGATGTTTGTTTGTGCCGCTTTGTGCACCGTGAAAATATAGCTGGTAAATATTTGCACGGTGAACAAAAAAATCATTTTGGGAGGAAACAGCTTGCAGGTTTTACTTTTTTTGCCATGACAACACTCGAAAGAAAAACATTACCCTGCTGAAGCTTTGTGTGAATTTTGGTCGATGCTGTGTTTAAAAGGAGGTCTCTATGGAGACCACAGAAAGCAAATAAACACAGATTCCCAGTATTGTGAACCCAACATATTTAAAGAGCAACGGTATCGCAAAATCATTGACTTTTAACATCCGCTTTAACTACTTCTTTCTTACTGGAATAGACACACAGTAATATTTACAACTATTTTGAATGCCATCACCACAGCTGTTGCATCTGCTCACCTCTCCATCAGGACCCATGGCAGCGGTCTGAGCCTCAGCGATCTCCAACTGTGAGACAAGAAGTAGCTGACTAGTCACAACAGAGACTCACATACAACTCTCACAGTCATTCATCATCACAAACAAAGATCACAGCTCCTGGTTTCCCCCATACCTTCTTCTTTTTCTTCTTCTTCTTCTTTTTCTTCTTCTTTTTCTCCTTGAGGGCCTGCACAGCTTTGTGAGCTCGTACCAGCTCGGTGAGGTTGGCGACGTACTCGTCGGTTTGCTGCAGCAGGTAGGCCAGACGCTTGTCCTTCTTCTGGTCAATCAGTTTACGATAGCCCTCCTCATCCTCAGCCTGGAAAGGAGGGTGGGGATAGACGCACATACAGTGTGTGGAGGAGCATGTGTAAACTGGCAAGTGTGTGACGTTCATGCTTGTGTGACTGCGCCCGTGTGGTTCCTCCTTACCATGAGCCTCCTCATCCTCTCCTTCTCGATGCGCTCATTCTCTTTCTTCTGCTCCCGTTCCGTGTTGGCATGGTACGTTGCCACCGCTTTGGTCAGTTTCTGCATTTTGCCCGTGATGGAGCGGTGGTACTCTTTGAAGTCTTTGGCGTGCTGCAGGATGCTGTTGAGGTTCTCCTGAGAACGGAGCGCACGCGACGAAACACAGATGAAGAGGAGCCGTTAAAAAAAATATCACATTTAATCTCATAGGTGACATCACGACTGTATTTGTCCTCCACCTGATGTTTCTGTCTGCGCTTGCGCTCTTGCTCGATCTTCTGCTGTTTCTCCAGTTTCTCCGTGATGCGCGCCTCTCGCAGAGACTGCCGCTTGCTTCGCTTGTAGGCCTTGGCATCGAGGGCGGTCTCCAGAGCTGTGTCGCGGCGCATACACACCACCACCTCCTGACGCAACTGTGGATAGTTAACGCGCACGGACCAATACGCAAAAACATCATCAACACCAACGACGCCAATGAAAACACGCAAAAGAAATGCGATGCTGAGAAGGTTGAAGGTGAACATTTGGTATGTGCATACCTGTCTCTGGAAGTTCAGCAGTCGGAGGGCTTTGAGCTCTATAGTAGCTTTGGTACGTAGATCACCAGCCAGAGAGCCCGGCAGGTTCTCCAGTTCAGCAATACGATGAGTGATACGAGCCTGTAACCTGAGGGAGTACTAAGTTGCATTTTACTATGAACTATTCATGGTTTGTGTTTTTTTTACTTTGGATTTTGAGTACCTCTGGTAGACAGTATACAAGAAAAAACTTCAAAAGTTTTGAATAGCTTAAAATAAATTCAGCAAGAAAACTCTCCAGCAATGTACTGTTTATAGTACATTATGCAGTCACCATTCAACCCTTCAGATTCAGCCATTTTCCGCTCCAGAAAAAGTAAACGAGATTAGGGAAAGTGTGAATCCCCTGGCGTACCTGAACTCCCTCTCCTGCAGTATCTCCATTGGGTCGAGGCCGCAGGGTTTCTGAATGGGGGTAATGCGGTTCTGCTTGGCGTGGTAAGGCATCATGGGAGTAGGCTGTGCTTGCTGGCCGGGGGACTGAGTCTGTGGCGGCATTACTGGGGAGGCGGCGGGGGGAACTGAGGGCGGGGCAGGAGAGGGCCGACCTGTGGGCTGAGGGGGAATAAGCTTTTGGGGTGCGTTGGAGGGTGCTGCTGCGTTCACCATGGGACCTGGAGGGAAGTGGAGAGTGGGAATGAAGGAAAGGTCTACAAAATGTATTATTTTCATGACATATTCTTTTAGTGTCCCTCCCTATAATTCTGTTTTTGGTTGGGTTCAAGCTAAATTTAGACCACAGGACACTGAAACCTAAAATCTTCTGCTGCACAGGAAGTTATGTACAGGAAGTTATGTATTTTCTGCATAGTATAGGTATAGTGTGCATAGGTAGTGTGGGGAGTTACTGACCACTGGTGGCACTATGGAGCAATGTTTTTAAGAGTGGGAATATTATTTGTATTGTGCACAACCATGACGTACACATAGCAGCCGTTGGTTTTCACACTATTCCATAAAGGCACCAATGAAACGTGTTAATGCACCAACAAAGACAGGGAAGAAGTAGACTGCTAGCAAATAAACATGCTGTGCGTTTCATTACCCATAATAAAACACTATTTAATATGCCAGAAAGAGATCTAGTGTGTCCCAATACTTACTATGTCAAGCACAGTATGCCAAAAATAGCATCTTTAAATCAACAAAAATATTTTGCTTGGATTAATATCAGGATAAATACTGGAAGGGAGAATAAATGTAAGAAGATGCAGCCTGTATCAACACATTATAATGTGCCAGGGTCTACAATGTGAACACAATGCTAAAGCCATAAAATCTTATTTAGAAATTCTTAAACGATGACACACTTGGCCTCATATATTGGCATATGAACATATTGTTCCTAACTGTATACTACTTTTCTTACCCGGATTAAGAGTCTTAACTGGAATTCATATGGACTTAGCAGCTTTCACTCAGCCCCTCTTCCTCTAGCTAATATCACTCACACTAGTGAGAGTCAGGCTTCACAAGCTCTCACAGCAGCAGCACCACATACCTTCAGGCCAGGACTTCGGAGGTCCGTTTGGGTTTTGTCCCTGCATCCCAGCTGGACCCGATGGGCCTGGAGGAGGCATGTTGGGACCCATCATTCCTAAAGAAACAAATATGTGCAAATTATTCTAAGACTTTTGGTGCATTTAGAACACAAAATATAAAAAAAATACAATTTGAGAAAAGAAATGTTGGTGATAATTTGCCCATCAGACCACAGGGTATAGCTTGGTATTCCACACATTTTCCCGTGTATGCTCACCATGAACTCGACTGTAGCCTGAGCCCATAGGCCCAGGCACTGGTACTGGTCCTGCTGGCCCACCTATTGGCCCGCCTCCAGTTCCGGGAGCCAGGCTGGGCATGGGCTGCTGCTGCATCCCGGGCATCGGCCTCTTCCCTTGGACAGCCATCTGGAGGTGGTCTGGCAGGGGCTGCCCCCGGGCAAGCATCTTATAAGCCATGATCTGGGCTCTGAGTTGGTGAAGCTGGTTTTGGTTGAAAGGAGTAGGGCCTGCAGGACCTCCAGGGCAATGAAGGCCTCCAGGTTCAAGGCCAGGAACGAGGCTGGAGACACCGGGGCCCAGGCTGGGTCCAGGGCTGGGGCCTGGGCCGGAGCTACCAGGAGGGCCAGGCCGGTTATTGGGACCCAGGGTGTGTTGATCGCCACTGGGACCATCCAAAGGTGCAGAGGCAGAGCCGGGACCACCAGAGGAGGAGGAGGAGGAGGAGGATGATGGCATAAGAGGTCCAGAGGGGGGGCCATTTGAAGGGACAGGGCTGGAGTGGTCAGAGCCACCCAATGGAGAGTGGTAACCTGGAAGGACAAATTTGACATTTTGGGAAATATTTGTCTGACCAAGAAATATTCCCATAGAAAATCCCACGAATACCACAAATTGATGTTTTTGTGGTTCATATTAACCAAACGAGACATGACGTGTTAATTAGTAAGCTAGCTGTTTCCAACTTTCCAGTCTTGATGCTGAGATGAGCGAACAGGCTGCTGGCTGTAGAGATCTAACTCTTAGCAGGAAAGTGAATAAGCTGATTTCCCAAAATGTCGTAACTATCCCTTTAACAAAAGCCTGCAGCGTAGCCCGATGAATAATGAGTCACTCCCTCACACTATTCAAATCCCATCAGACCGTTGTTTCATAATGTTGTTAACGCTGATTCACAGTGCTAATTCTGTCCCTTCCTTATTGCTGCATGCAAACGACAAAGCCACAAAGTTGCTACATGACTGATAGCAGTGCCTTTGTTACACTAAGCTGCTCTGCTGTGTTTTGATATAAAAAAAACAAAAAAAACAAACTTTAAAGAGTTTGAAACAACGGCTCGTCAACAGCCTGCTACAACAGAGACACTCCCTATGAGCCAGCCAGGCCACATGACGGCACAACTGGTCTTGCACAATTCTGGGAAGGGTGAAATTGCGTATGCTAAGTCTACGTAGCGCCTACCTTGCGAGTGTTGGTCTAGAGGGCTGGGCGGGGGGCCCATACCACTGTGCCCGCCCTGTCTCATAGACAGTCCCTTCATCTGACTGAAGCGGCCCTCCTCACCCATGCCCTTCTCATGCAGGCTCTCCATGGACTGTGGGAGAAATCAAACGGGGTTGAAACGAAACTATCATCCTGGTAGTTTCAGCTGCAAACATCACATAGTTCTAATAGGGAAAAAAACACATTGAAATAAATAATATATCAAATGTAAGGAGTTGTGAGATGATGACAGTGACAATTTGACACTATGGGTTTTTAACATGCATGGATTAATATGCAGCTGCAGTTTTTCCGAAGTATTACAGTCTAAAAGTAATAATTGCTTTCTACAATATGGATTAGTGCTGCAATGTGCCGCGTCAGCATGTGCCCATTGTGATGGAGTGGAGCCATGATGGAAATTTAAATTGAAGGTGCAGTCACATACATATAATATGCGAATCTGTCCATGTAAATCCAGTTATCAAGTTTAATGTTTTTCTGTGGAATTAACATCCATATAGCTGCATGGTAGCCTACAGATTATGTGAATGTGATGTTTTTAAATCCTTAATATGCATAATTAACATTCGCTTTGCTGGATATGGATTTAAAAATAACTGCTGACTCGCCACCTCCATTGCCCAAAGGACTGGGATTACAGAGGTGGTGTGTCTCAGCAAGACGTTGGGGGGTCTCTCCGTTCTTACTTTGTGCAGAGGGTGCATGTTCTCCTGGCCGTATCCAGAGGGCCCTGACTGAGAGTGTCCAGAGGAGGGAGGGCCCGGGCTGGGGCCCATCATACCGTGAGAGGAGCCCGGGGAGGGCCCGGGGCTGGGGCCCAGCATAGCCCCGGGGGAGGGACCCGGACCAGGGGAAGGACCTGGGCGAGGTGTGCCTCCCATGGGGGGATCTGGCGTTGACATCGCCCTGGATCTCCTGCTCCTCGGTGAGCAGCAGGGACCTGAGAGAAATGACAGAGAGAAGGTGAGAGAGAGGAGGAGGGCGTGGTCTTTGCTAAAACTCATTTGCAATATGCAAAAGTAATTGATCTAAATTAGCATTCATTTAGTGGTTTGATTCGACAGAACTGTTGGAGACATCTGGACAGTGAGGCTGCATATCTGATTTAACTATGCCGTTCTGATAAATGATGTGGCTGCACAATCCTTGCAAGATATGGTTGAATCTTATCCAACGCCTGTCAGGTGAAGACTCTCCATTCTCTCGCTGCGCTGCAGCAAATCATCCGTTGCGCGCAGATGCAATTACGGCTCCAGGATCTACCACTGCACTTGAACTGAACACGGGGGGCAATCACAGTCAATTATGCACATAAGCCTATGATGCTACTGAGAACCCCCCCGACCACGAAAGGGTGTCTCGTTAAATATAAAAAAGGGGAATGGCGGACTGTGCTTGTGCGACTGACCTACCCGCATGAACAGGACAGGCGGTCCCGGGTGAATGTCTGCGCTCCCGAGTTGGTATTTGCGGGGGATGAAAAAGACGGCGCAGCGGTTGACGCAATTAGTCTACTCACCCTCTTCGTAATGTGCCTTCGAGCGTTGATTTGTTTCGCCGGCGCGGCTCGAGCGCCCCCTCCGCCGCTTCTATGACCGAATGTCTAGTCACGGCTGTGCGGCAGCGCGCATGCGTGTGCAGCTCCAGCAAGGCTCTGAATTTTGTAAAGTCTGTACTGTACAGTGTGTGTGAGTCCTTTAGTTATACTCAAATATAGGTTTTAACGTACACCTTAAAGAATATAAGGATAAGAGTCTGCATATGCTCAAATAAGGTCTTTAAAAATCATTTAAATGCTAAAATCACTTTTTTTATTACTTTTGTTCTGTTGATATTTTTTTCATTAATTAGTGTACACGACTGTTAAATCATGAAACACTGGGGACTATGAACCGAGTAATAGTAATTATTGTAGATTAATGATTAAGCTCAAAAAGATGCAGTACTTCGGATAAAATAAAAATATCACATTTTTAACAGAAGTGATAAAATAAACAACTAACCGACAGTATTTGTTTATACAATGCAAGTATTTTAAGATTTCTGAGAAGTTGAAAACTTTGATGCCTAAACGCAGCATGAACCAATGTTTTTTTTTTCTGTACAGGATGATTTTCACAGAACAAAAAAAAAGAAAAAAAAAAAATACATTTGCCATCTACCAATGAGGGGCACCTATCTCACATAATATGCTTTACAAATAAACACATCATTGCATTGCAATGACAAGCTGCAGTGCTTACTTAGTGAAACACGGACTACATGTAATCTACAGCAACATTTTACAGTGTGGCTGCATCCCCATGTAACATTTACTGTACACAGCAGATTTGCTCTCACTCTAACATTATTGCATTACATCTTTGAATTATGTTGTACTTTTATGAATGTATGCATGCATCATTTTATGCCAATCCACTGTCAGTGTATTTTGAAGAACAAAATCTTTTTGTCAAACATTTACCACAGCGCCTTTCACTTGAAGATGGCTTTCACACTGTGAATAATAACACAAATGTCAGAAAGTCATCACTGACAAATAGGAGTTCATATTTTACCAGTGTATTAACTTTATGTTATGAAGATTTAACATCCACAGGTGAGTTCAAAGTGAGCAAGAAACCAGGTCACAGGTTAGCTTCAAATGTAGAATGGTGGAAGACTAGTTTCCGGTGCCGTGAAATCAACAGGAGTGAACTGCACTGAATTACATTGTGAAGACAAAACATTGCATTTTGTTTCAGGGTGAACAGTCTGTGCTTCTTCTGCAGTGATCAGATGAGAACAAAACAGTGCATCTCTTCAGAGTATGTGATGCGAATAAAATGTGATTCCAGTGTTTGAAGTTTAATCAGGACAAGAAATCAAATAACAGTAGTAGAGCAACCTGCAGTAATAGCCTTCACGTAGAAAAGGGACAAACTAAACACAAATGACATCGCAACAAAAAAGCCATTCAGCTTGGGCCGGTCTTATTGACTGTAGAACTTTACCAAGTAGAACCCAGAACCTGAAGTGGAAAACAAAGAGCTATTCTGGGTTTTTACTTTGCAAATGTATCCAGATAACTTAAACACTCGGAAGAATTTGAAACCTCAACGCGACAGACTCTTAAATACATCGGTACACTTATTCAAGACAAACAGATAAGCTAAACTAACACACTCGCAAAAATATGTTCATAAACCTGATAAATAAATGTAAGAACTAAAAACAAAAATGGAGACGTTCAGCAGGTGGTATATCACGTCACCTTCCAGTCCAGCTCAGACCAGGATGAAAACACAACGTGCTTGATTTCGCTCATACATGCTCGACATCGAGGCGTTCTGGGTATCTGATGAAGTGAATCAAGAATACTTCAAGTAGTTGGAACATTTCCAACAATGAACCAATTTGAAATCCTGCCTTTGCTCAGTGAACTAATGCTCCAGACATTACGTTAGCTTATAATACCCATCCACACAAAAAGGGTGATAACAGAAGCCACACAGTCTTTAATTCCGTTGACCAGCGAAGGCAATAAAGCACTAAAGCGTCATGTCCACCTTGCAGCTGCACCATCAACAGAATCGAGTCCTTCCCTTTGAAAGGAAATGAGGCGTCCTTTTCCGCCCCCTACGGGTGAGAGCTAGTAGAGCGTCCTCCTCGGTGCCTTACAGGAAGACAAACTCGTCACTGGTTCTTCTGTTGTTACTCCTGCTCAGGTTGCCGGGGGGCAGAATGTGGGCTGCAGGTCCACTGTGGTTGTTGCCGCTGTGACCCTCAAGTCCATAATCCTGACCCTGGCCCTCCACGAAGGTAAAAATGGGGTATTTCTCCTTCGATGACGACAGAGCCTGGGAGGACAACAAAATCGAGTCAACAAAAATGTCCCAGAATGCTTCAGAATCACCGTGAATGTCGTGTCAAGAGAGTACATGAATATCTGTCAAATCAAGTGCTTTTTACTTCGTTGAAGAACTGGAACCACCGATTATTTTCATTCTCTATGATTCTTACTATTACTTTCCCAATTAGTTGACATCTTCAAATTGCTAATTTTGTGTTCGATACAAAGCATAAAAATCAAAAGATATTAAATTAACAAAAGATTTAAAAAAAAAAAAAAGAAAAAAAAAAAAGAAAAAAAAAAAAAAAAAAAAAAAAAAAAAAAAAAAAAAAAAAAAAAAAGCAAGTTCAGGTCAAAGCAATAGTCGGCTGCCAACTGTCACGACCCAATGGATGTATAGGGACATTATAATAATAATAATAATCTTTGTACAGCACATTTCATACAGACTTTGTAGCTCAAAGTGCTGTATATTTAAAAATAAAGAAAAACAGAAAACCTTCCTTTTACAGTTAAAATAAATAAAAGTGGGAGGAAGAAAGCCTGCATTTTAAGTGTCATTTAAATAATTTCAACAGATGAATAGAAATGAAAATATATATATTTATTTGCATATTATGCGTTTTAAGCCCCTCTGTCGGTGGTGCTGGATCTCTCTCTCGCCAACCTGCTGTGGCGGCTCGGTGTGGAATCGCTCTGTGATGCGGCGCCTCCTTCGTTTATGTGAATGAATCCGATTGAACTTTGACAGAATAAATAACAAGGCTCCCCAACGTCCAGCTAGTTTAACAAGAGGCAGTGGGTTTGGGCCTTACATTCAGGACACATTGTTTATGTTCTTGTTTTAGAACGGCATGGTAAAATACTACAACCAGAAGAGAACGAGGGATGCTGCCTGACGAGTGAGTGAGTTCCAGCTTCCCCAGCTCCTGTGGGATCACCTTTGTAATATATAGTAGATAGGATCATGCAATTATCCATAGCAGACCTGGGTAGGGCCGTGTTTGGTCAATCTCTTCTTACCCATCCTTTAACACAGTAGTTAAATGGTATTCTCTCTGCTGTTATTAAATGCTATGACATTTAGAGACAGATAGTGACAGGAGGGTGTTCAAACTCACCACACTAACAGCAGAACACAGAGACTCAAAGTCCTTCTTGTTCTTGGCATAAAAGCCGATGGTGCAGCTCGGATCCATGCGGTTGAAGGGCATCTTCTTGGGAGAGCTACAGTGGAACGACTAGAGAGTGACAGAAGGAGACACAATAAAAAGGTCAATCAAAATTCATGACGGGACGTGTTATCTCTCACGTCCCGGTCCACAGTCAAAACACTAGTGAGCATGAAAGTCACACGGTCCAAGAAGTTCAATATCATAATCTGATAAAAAGCCAGACACACTGAGGTGATAGTGACATTGTTTGTTTTTGTGTGTGTGTGTATGTATAAATAAATAAATAAATAAATAAATAAAGACAATGAAACCAACCTCCAGTGAGAAGTTGACCTGAGAGACATCCACCACGGGCTGGCAGTAGTGAGGGTCCAGATACAGCAGCTGCTCGTCTAACAGACAGGAAGAGGAATCAAAATACTCTATTAAAGTATGAAGTGACCAGGAACAGATGAATGGCTCAGTCATATTTTTGCTGATTCAATATTCTTAGATCTTGTTCATACTGAATCAAGCTGCAACTACCTCGAATGAGTGGAGATTCAAATATCAAGTACGATGAGCCGCGGTACAAAAAAGTATGAATGTGGATTTTCTGCAACACGGTTTGGTTTCTAAAGCAGCGGTCACTTCTTCTATTGTGTGAATGGTTGATGATTTTCAGAATCATTGTTCCAGGAAGGGGAAATCAATGATTACCAAGAAGTATATTTGGGGAAGAGTTGGTTGCTTGGTCGACAGAGTCGAAGCCTGTCACAGGCAGCGGCCAGTTTGGACTGTAATTACACGGCTTTGAGGAAGACAGCGCTTCACAAATCCTACATGAAATAATTTGACGTTTACATTCCCAGTTGTTTTTGAATATCGTGAAAATGTTAAGTGTATTATTGTGCCTCTACCATGCTGTGTTTAAATTGTTTAAGTCAGTCAGTTTAACTCATGGTTAGGTAAGGCTAACCAGCTAACGCAAGTATCCCCGTCATGTAGCCTTCATCAGCGATTCAAAGATTGTTGCCTTGGGAAAGAGGCGCCTCAAGAAAAAGTGACAGAGAGCAAGAGGACAGAAAAGAAGCGCTTTGAATGTTGCATAAATAGTCACTAAATAACACAGCTACAGTCATTTGTTGTGCACCGAGCCCTACAGTAACTGACTCACTGTGCACATTCCTTAGTGTACCAACCGTCGACATGAGACAAACAGCAGAGACAAACAGCAGAGACAAGAGCTCTACGGTCCTCTGGTCCATGATGTTTCCAAAGAACACCAAGTTCCTTCTTCGGAATAACAACATTGTTCTTAAATCCCTTGATTCCTTCAACAAAAAGAAAAAGCTCTCACCTTGGAAGCCAATGAAGTAAAGTGAGTGCTTCGGTTTGCCTCCGATGATTCCAATACAACAATCCAGCTTTAGGATGTTCTGGAAATGAACACGGATGTTTTCAATATGACTTGAGAGACGTGAGAGAGAACTCAAGTTCGTCAACAAAGTTCTTTAGGAAACATTACTCTAGTGAGCTCAGAGAGGAGTCTGTGGATGGGTGGGGTGAACGCAGAGTATTCACACCTTGACACATTCGATGTAGGACGGGTTGAGGGCCTCCCCTCCCAGCCGTACAGGCACCAGTATGATGACGGACTTCCAGGCTTGGCTGGACGGATCAGGGGGCGTCTGGCTCAGTGACAGGTCACATAGATGCACCACGTCTTCTTTGTACACTGCAGAGCACGGAAACACCATGAGGATTAATATGGAGAAGACTTCAAAAGGAATACATGTTGAACTGGACTCTCACAACATCTAGTGTGTCAATCTCACCTGTACAATCCTGAGCCACATATACAGCCAGGTTGTGGAGCACAGAGGTTTTGGCTACGGCTTTCCTGAAAAAACAAAATATTCATAACTCCAATCAATGCAAAGACATTTTAAATCCTTGCTTGTAAAAAAACCTCTTCTGCCGTCTTTACCTTAGAATGTGTGCCACTATAGAGGGGCCGTACCAGTCACCGGCCTTCTTTCCTGAACTGTTGCCAATTTCCACCAGCTGGTGAAGCCCAAAAGGTGCTGGGGGCTGATCCCCGAACCAGGTGACCAGCTTGTGGTGGATGGGCTCTGCCTGCCTGTCCCGCACACACTCCGGTCTCTTCCTTTGGCTGCATTTGGGCGCCTGATCACCCGTCAGGGACTTTTCGGGGGTGTTGGACCCTCGTGGAGAGCCAAAGGAGGGGATGGGGACTCCTCCAGCCCGGGCTGGGGAACGCGGTCTGAACACCTCAAAGTCTACTTCGGTCAGCTGCTGAACATCTGGCCAAGCCCAATCTGCAGAATACAAAAAAGGCTTGCACTTAGCAACTAAGTAGAGCCAGGCTAAAACATCTGGGGCATGTTTTCCTTCAGCACTAAACAATCAGAGAGTAGACATCTTTTGAATATCAAACTAATAAGCATAGGCACAATGAATAAGAAATTCTAAAAACAGACAGAATGATGGAGAGCGGAAGAGAGACAAAATCTGCCAGCAATGAAAAGAAACAGAAACAAATCAGGATAAGTAAAGCTCAGAAAGTATAAATTTAAAAAAAAAAAAAAAAAAAAAAGGACAAAAGGAGAGAGGCGAGGAGCAGAACACACGAATGAGTGAAACTGAGTCAATAAAAACTTGCCGGAGATATAAATAGTGAGATGAAGAACACAGGAATTAGATAAAGGACAGATATAGTGTTAATTGACATAAACATTTAAGAAAAAGTATTCACTGAAGTCCTTTCAATTTAAAGGAGTACTTGCAATGTAGCTATACTTCCTGTGGGTGAAAGAAAAACTGTGTGCAATGGTGAGACAAACCTCTGGGCATCAGATGGACCAGGAGCCCTTGAGCCAGCAGCATCTGTCCACTGCGCAGCATACAGCCCCAGCCGCAGTCTGTGGTCCAGGTGGAGCCCTCCAGCTGAGGGAACTCCCTCCTGTAGGTCAGCCAAATCCTGGACACAAAAGCCAAACGGAACCGCTCCACCGCATCTGGGAGGAGGTGAAGGGGGAGGGGGAGAAAAAGAAAGAGAACTTTTACACTTTGTTGATTCAAACTGCTCATGAATTTGATCTCATGTTTATCTGACATGAGAAACATCAGTTTACAGGACTGTGTAATCAAAGGGGAAAGTTTTTTTTAGGTCAACTGCTGTTGTGTTCTCTGACGTAAACCCGGCAACCTTGCAAAGGAAAAGGCTTTACACCACTGTGGTGAACCAAAACACATATCAGTCCAACACCTGGAGTCCCTGTGTAGAGAGGAAACGCAGCATCTACAGACAAGCACTTTTGATTAGAAAGGGATCAATCTTGAGATTTTTCAAAAGACGTTTTTGTATTTAGAGCCAACCTTCACTGTTGAGCAGATAAGAGTGTCCCAGGACAGTGACCGGTGATATCTTGTTGAAGGAGGTTTTAGACTTAACAGTCCAACCTAGAGAGAGAGGAGCAGAGACAATGGAAGTTGTCAAAGTGGCAACAAAGACAATGAACAAGATCGAGGCACCGACACAGTCAAGTACTTCAAGTACAAACCGTATTTGACGTTGTTCCACGCTGACATCAGTTTGGCTTTCAGTTTGTCCATCTCGTCAGGCTCTCCAGTGGCCTCTCTACTGGGATCTGGAGTCTGTGCTGGCCTGAGACCAAAGCTGCCCTGCCGCTCCAGGGGCTGCTGCCTCTGGCTCGCCACCAGCTCGTCCTGCATCACTCCCCCTACGTATTGCACCGTGCTGGGGGAAACGGAGTTCATGCCTCTGAGCCCTCAGAGCTGAATGCTGGTGCTCCTCATTGCAACACAGAACTGATGGGGGGGGGGGGGAGAAAAGGGAGGTTAAATTATTGAATCTGCTTGAAACTCTTTAACCTACACTTGACGTGTACTCATGCGTTTTGTGCTTTTTAACGCTGGCTAATAATTCTGTTTCGCCACGTAGTCATTCACGATCCTCCTCTGTTGATCTTCCTGAGGTTTCCTCCTTTCTCCCTTGTTTAAGTTTTTTTGTGGCAAAAGCAAAGTCAAGAGTACATTCTCAATGCTACAAATGAAGTTTGTTTTATACTCATAGGGAAAGGGCACAACAGTCTGTAGGCCAAAGGCAAGTCCTCACTTCCTGAAAAACATAAATAATTGCTACATCGTCAGTGTACACTTCACTCATCCGTCAGCACACAACTGGAAAGTACCAGTGACTTTTCCACCCAGGTCTGAAACTGATGAGTAGCAGTTTCAACAGGGAACACTAGCACTGTGTGTAGTCACTGGTTTCACCGACGGGAGCAGTTATGTGCAGAATAAACGTCATGTGATTAGCATTTGACAACCGGCATGTCGGGTTTTTCAATGACTGTGAAAGCCATCTGATTCTGGTGGCGGTCACCATGTCTCAGTGCAGATCAAGCTGTTTAACACCTGAAGCAATCACTCGCTGCAGCGCACAAATTTGTCTGTCACTGCCTGCGCGAGGATCAACATCCTCAAAGTCATTTTGCAATATAATATCCACGATATTGTTCTCACACAATATCTAAGTCTAATGGTCAAGTGACCGTACGTGACACCTCCCCTTTAAACATGGCTACGGGTAATTATCTTCCAATTAAAGACACAATAGCAAACAACTACGTACCTGCTGTAAACGAAGGCTAAGATGGTCGGTGCCTTGTGGTATTTTGACTCATTTCAGCGACTTCCTCGGTCTTCAACCACGACTCGACTTGTCTCCACAGATAAATGTGACGTTAATGTACTAGCTTGCCAAAGCTAGCTAAGTTTAGCATTTCAAGACGCTAGCCCCCGGTGTTAGCTACCTAGCATTCAAGCCGGACTGACCACAGATATTAATAAACGTTACTTTCAGCAGTATGGTACGGGTTCCTCCATTCAACAAACAAGCTAATGTGTGCACCCCGAGGTGAAGATAATCCAGTACATAGTGGGGGCTTTGCTCTCCTGACCGCCGCATTAGCGTCTCGCGCTGACAGAAGCGGACATTCACTTCCTGTTGTCCTTTCCTGACACACCGCCATTGGTTGCAGTGAGCACCGTGAGGAAGCTGATTGGATCATTTATAGTATATATTAGACATTAACCGCGTGCTATTGGCTAATATTAACTCTTAAAGTTATGTAATATAATCACATGATAGTAAATAGATGACTGATATGTATTTGTATAGATTTAAGTTTGATTTGAGTGACAGGTGCTACATTTGTACAATATTGTATATTTTATATTCATATATATTATGAATGTTGAATGAAGAGTTTATGTACACAGGTTTAAAATAATAGGCCTTTTTACGTTTTATAGTGAAAAACGTATATATATATATATATATATATATATATATATATATATATATATATATATATTCACGTTATGCAGCAAAACAAGTGTTTATTGTGATAATATAAGAGTTGCTTCAGCATTGTTATCACAGATCATAGTCACAAAAGAGTAAGAGGTGGCAAGTCTTGGAACAAATCTTGGAACAAATTTTTATTCCACATACTGCACTTCAGGTGTCTGCATTTGAATCACATCTATCACAAACAAAAATGCCCCATGGTACAAATAAATACACTGTCAGTGAACAGAGAAACGTGGAATGTTTTTATACTTGGACTTTCGCGTTTCATTTCTAGAATACATATCTGTATACAGTAGGCTATATTTTCTTTTTCGTCAAAGTAACTTACAAACTACCAGCAAATTTTCCAAATAAAGTGCATTTATACTACTCTCTCTGTCAATCACAAAAAGAAAAAAAGAAATTCTCAAACATGTAACACTATAGACACCATTGATTCGGAAAAAAGGCCTGAAAGTGGGCGTAATATCTGTAGAAGATTACATTACAGTTAGTTTTCTTAGTCAGGTTATCAGAGCTGACCTGATGCCTCATTTATTACATCAAGATATAAAAGAACTGCTTCCTATCAGTAGAATATATAAGACAGTATATTATATTAAAAATGTCAATCCCTATCCCAGAAGATATAATTAACAGTCACGTCAAGAACACGACAACAGGAAAGGAATAAATTCATGTTTCAAGTGTTCATTTGATAATTACTGCAAAGATTTTTGTCATTATAAACATAAATGCATATTCAGTAACCCTATGGCTAATAACCTCCATTCTGCAGTATTTTAGTGGTCGTAACTCTCACTCCAGCAGATTATTAATGAACATGTTATGGAAACATGTCTTACAGTGGATGTTTTAAACCACTGGAGGGCAGTAGAGTACGACGCTGAATGAAAGAAAACTATGGTTTGTTGCGTGAACTGCATGAGACTTTCTGATGAGGGGTGTCAAATCATTGGAACACCCTCGAACATTGTTTGATTTGAGCATGGATTGCTATCCTCTAAAAAGGAAAAATCAATCTGTATTGCATTAAAGATGCATTAATATATGTTTTTTTAATATACATATTACCGACTGGTTATGTAAAAAGATCTGCCAAGACCACAAAAATCAACTTCCCACTTTGTAGCTCTGCATAGCTTTTAACCATTTCCAGCTCATTGTTTTAGTTTTTTTTAGACAGATCCAAACCAAAACAATGTTGCCAGCTGATGTAAAACCGCTGCCAGCACAACTGTACAGGAAGTAGCCTACTTAATGTAAAACAGTTGGAGAACAAACCCCCCCCCCCCCCCCCCCTTTTGGACAATGAAATGCATATCTGTGTGAAGTTGTTGTTGGTGTAATCAGTTTACATTTCTAGAGCTTAGAAGAATCAACGTTTCGATGAAATCAAAAATGGATTCAATCATTTAAACCCTGTACTCTTCTCAGTGACAGCAGTCCTCACACACAAACACACACACACACACACACACACACACACACACACACACACACAGCTGTGAATGAGTGGCATGAGATGATGTACACCGGACAGTTACTGAGAACGAATAGGACCGGCGGGAGAGAGGAGCACAAGTTGTTTCTCCCGGTGAACATTTAATCCTTCTCAGCGCTCTTGCTAAGATCGTTGAATCAGTATGTTACATCTCAAAAAAGTGAGTTTCACATGAATCGATCTCGACTACCTAGCTTGTGGTTCCTAACAACCTAACACAGTCATTCTGATTATACTGCAGATAACTTTGCTTTTACAGCAACATGTTCATTGCGATATACTGTACCCATATCCACAACCCCTACCATATCTATAGAGCCCTTAAACAAACACATAACTGTATGCTACATCCATAACGGCCTGCTTTCCCCCGTTTGGGCTCGAAACAACACATGGGTTCACTCTGTGTTTTACGATTACTTTTTTTTGTGTACTATATCCACAAACATTACCATCACTGAGCCTGTGTGATTTGTTAGTAAAGTCGGAGAATGTTCAGCAAAGCCTGTAACTGTTACTGGATCCGAAATGCCGCCTGTTTATTTCCAGTTTGGTTCCCCGTCGTGACCCTTGCTGAGTGTAATTACCCCACGAAAAGACACGCGTTCTCACACATTTCTTAACTCACTCGCAAAACACACTTGCATCCCAATTCGTAGGACCACGGGTTTAAATGCATAAAAAATAAAATCAGCTGCTGACAGTGCTGCCTCCTGTGGCAATGTGAGTGTGTGTGCGTGTTTGTGTGTGTGTTGGCTGAAAAAAAGGGTGCTGTGGCAGCCCTCCTGCAAAGGGGAGATAAGCGCTGAGCCGGAGCTCTGTCAAACACGCTTTCCTCTGCAGGACGACACAGCCTCCAAGAAGCAGCAGAAATAGACCCAAGGTGGCTTCACACGCTCTCTCTCACACACACACACACACACTCACACACACACACACACACACACACACACACACACACACACAATCTCCTGCGACAGTCAGAGCTAGACATGACATCCACTGACAGAGTGCCTGCTTCAGCTTTGTCTGACCCATGCACAGCGACTCTGTAAACTGCCGGATGGAGAAGAAATGAGCTCCATCATCTTGCTGCTTGCTCACCCGCTGAAACCAAACTGAGGCTCGGCTGCCTCGTTTGATGCAAATACTACAACGTGACCACGACTTCGTCATTGTCTTGCTTGAGAAAGCAGTGAGAGAACAAAGCGCTGGTTTGAAAGAGAAAATAGAGTGACTGGATTTTGGTATTCACAGTTTTCAGCATGTTTTGATCGGTAAAGCACTTTTTGACTTTCTTGTACCTATTATACATGTACAGTACATACCATATATGACATGCGTTCACATAGACCCACACACATATACATCTGGTAAAGTGTTCCACGTTACATTAAAGAATCCTCTTATTAAATACTTTATAATAGAAAATCAACAGAGAACGCACCTTTACATTAGATTGTTTCACTCCTGGTTTTGAGTTAGAATCAGTCAATCATTGGAATCAATAAACCACATTTCATGTACTCTGAAACTGGAATGTACATTGTTAAGTGCTTGACTTCTGTTACATTGTTCTTCCAAAAAAGGCATATCTTTTTTTTACTTTTTTTTTTACTAAAGTCCCATTTAGGGACCCCATGGGGTCACATTTTCGACTGGCTGCTTCCCATGGCAGCCCTCTCTAGCGGTGAAGCAGCAGGACTTTGGGTCACCACTGCAGCCCCAACAACCACTCGACCTCCAGCGGGAGTGTCAGACTTTCCCGCTGCCCCTCCCTGCCTCTCCTCCGCCGCCTTAGTCTGCTGCTCTTTGCTCTTGGACCCCTCCTGGGAGCCAAGCTTGATCGGCCCGAGGACGTTTTTGGCCACAGTGGTCAGCTGGCTGACGAAGCTCGTCTTTTCGCCAGGGGAGACGGGCCGCGACTTGCAGAGCAATGGTCCGCAGAGGGAGGGGGTGACGGACGTCGGGGAGGGAGAGGGGGAAGGCGAATGCTCCTCCACCACTTCTAGGCGACATTTGTCCTCCCAGTCAAGAGTCCCCCGGTAGCAGTTGACGGGCCCAAGTCCTTGCCTCACCTTGCCCAGCAAGAGCGGCTGCCCATGTGGGGGGACGACGGGGGCAAGAATCCGCGCTAGTAGCTTGGGGCTTTTGGAGCCGAAGTCTGGAGTCCTCGAGTCGCCGCTCTCTGCTCCAGCCTTTCTCAGGCTGTCCCCCATACCTGATGGTTTAAAGGGTTTGCTCATGTTTAGAGGACCGGCTTTCGCTGACGCGTTGACGCCGATGGATTTATCCGGAGTGGAAGCAGAGCTCCTGTTGAAGGCAGCACCAGGTACACCAGGCCTACCCCTGTTGTCTCCTTCCTGCTTCGGTTCAGTTCTGCCCCACAGCTGCTCCTTGACGTCTTTAATATTAGAAAACACACTTTTGGCTCCCATGGGGTCTTGCTGTTTTGACGTTAAGTCCGCCGGACTCTGAGGGATCTTTTCAGGTCCCTTCTGAACACTTAGACTTCCTGTTGTTTTGCTAGGGGTGCAAGAACTTGTAGCTTTAGTGGTTTCTGCACAAAGTCTGGAGCTCTGGCCAGCCTGCGAGCTAAAGGACAGCTCACTATGAGATTTTCTTGTTAATGACGACTGGCATCCTGTTGCTCCAAAGCGACTCAATCTCTCCAGGACTGTCGCGGTATCAGTATCCCTCTCTTTTTCCCTCTCCCGTCCCCTCTCCCTCTCTTCCCTGTCCCTCCCAGCCAGCAGTGTTTCTCTGCTGAGCGGTGACTCCTGTCTCCCTAGTCTCCTCACAGGCTTCAGGACACCGGTTTCCGGGTTTGTAGAGGATGAGGGCAGGGGTGGAGGATTAGGGGGCAAGTTTTCCCCGTCCGTCTCCAGCAGGCTCTGGAGCCCGAGCTCACAGAGGAAGGCATCCTTACGGTACTCAGAGTGCTGCACCTCCAGGCTGTGCTTCCTTAGCGGACCGCCCAGTCCTCCTGTTGAGCTGGACTGGGTTAGAGGCGAGCCCAGCTTCTCCGCCGACTGCACCCGTTTGAGAAGAGGCGATCGAGGGGGTTCAGCACTCTTGGGCCTGGGGCGGACCACCGGCGGCGAGGAGTGGAGCTTGACGGGAAAGGACTGGGTGGTGTTGGAGCTCCCCACGGTGTGGCCAGGCAACGGCGGGGGCGAGGACTGGGTGGGGGAGGGCGTGTGGGCGAGCGGGGACAGGGGTATGTTGCCTGCAGACTTACAGCGGGCAGAGCGATACTGGCGGTGCAGTTTCGGGGAGAGGCCGTGCAGGGAGCTGGGCCTCATGTGCTGAGAGGGAGCGGGGGAGTTTGGAGTGCTGGAGGCCGGAGAGCTGCTCTGGGAGGAGGCACCTAAAGGACAGAGATCAGAAAAGATCAATTAAGATGAAAAGAATCCCTGAGGAGCAGACAAACTTTTGATTTAGAAGTAAAGAAAATTTGGGCTTTTAGGGATTTGTACAATTTTTGGCTTCAAAAGCTTGTTTTCCTGCCAATTCTATTTTTTTAAACAAATATTTCTAGCGTGAATTGACCAGTTGCTTTAACACTTGTAAGTACATTATTTCCAGTGTCCTACCCAGGTATGAGGGCTCGGGGGTGGAGCGGTAGCCCTGAGTCGGAGACCGGGCAGACAAGCTGTGAGTCGGGGAGCCAGGGAGACTCTCACTGGAGGACAGAGAGCGATTCAGAGAGGATAAGCTGCGGCTGGTGTGCAGCAGATTGGACTGCTTTGTAATCTTACGGAACAAGGAGCTGCGCTTCTTACTGCCGGACGGACAAACAAAGAAAAGACAGGGAGAGAAAGTTAGATTTGAAATAAGATTGACATAAAACGTTTTATGTCAATACATTTCACTTTAAAGGGCTATAAGATGCATTTTTTTCATGTTTTTTTTTGTCCAGTTACAATGAGAATCAACTTGCAGAAAAAAGATAATCCATCACTGTGAATCGAAAAGCATGGAATTCATGAGCTATTTTGGTTGTGTCAAATGTTAACGTGCAACATCAGTGATAACTGACAAAAGATTTCCCTACTATACCAAAAGGAATGGACACTAACGGCTAATGACTCATTTGGAATGCATGAAAACCCAAAAATTATGATATCCTCAGAAAATGCTCATCAGCAACTAAACAGTAATTGTAATTAATGGGCTCAAACATGCAAAAGCACTACTACAAGTATTGAGAATGTCACCAGATAAAGATGGTCAAAAGATACACAAAAAAAACCAACCACCTCCTTTACTTTTGTATTTTACCTCATAAGACAAGACATCAAAGACACCGTCTCTGCTGCGGTGCAGGTGCGTAAGCTCTTACCTGTCCTGGCTGTCCTTTCCTATGGTCCTCTTGTTTCGTCGGGCCATCTTACACTTGTAGCTGGCCTTGCGGGCAGGACCCACTTTAATAGAGGTGTTCTCAAAAGGCGTGGTTGTCACCGTCACCTTGTTTCCACTCTACACAGATCAGTGACATTAAATCATTTCTACACTGATCCTTGTAATTATCCACTGTCAAGCTTGTTTACCGACAGAAAACTGACCAGGAAAATGTTACCTTTATCGACAGGATGAAGAGTCACTAAGCTCAGAGTTACAGTACATGTGAGCTGCAAGCACGTTGTCTAAGTACACTAATAGCCTTTCCTTGAAATTGACAGCTTATAAATAGACAACTAAGTGGCCTATTATTGGCAGAAATAAAATAAATACATAGGACTATGGATATTACCAAACACACAGTACACCTGATAATGACTAAGCCTACTGCTGCCTACCTTGAGGATGAGCTCTACCACTTCAGTGTGGACCAGACCGTGGACAGACTCCCCGTTGACGTGGGTAATGAGGTCACCGGCGCACAGGCCAGCTTCCTGGGCGGGGCCGCCGTCCTCCACATGCTGCAGAGTTACACAGAACTTTTACACAGAACTTTTAAGCTCAGAACAGGACAAAAACAATTACATGTAAACATTCGATGAATCTTAGACAGTATTTCGAAAGACAATTAATCAAAAAATAAGACAGACTACTTTGATAAGATTAAGATTAAGACTTAGATTAGAAGAAAGCATGAACTATTTTCCGTTTATTTTATAAGTAATATTAGTAACATATTTAACTGGTGAAATTTGAACCCCAATTTATTAACTTCAGAAGAACTTCAGTCCCAGGACAAGCCATCCTTCTTCATGAGTTCACAGACTTCACTACACACTGCTACAAGTTTCTTACCCAAACAATGTGATGCACGCTGTAGATGTCACTGTCTCCAATGTAGACCCTGATGGCCCTGAGAGTGAAGCCGTACTTCTTTCCGGAGCGATGGATGGTGATGGGAGAGCGCAGCACGCTGACTACCGGGCAAAAGTCTCTGCTGGGCGAAGAGTCTCGGGACGAGGGGTTGGAGGAGAGTGAGTGGGGGGACATGGGGCTGGCCAGCGGAGAGAAACCGCCATACTGCTCCACTGGAGAGGAACAAAGTATCGTATTAGCGTGCCATGAAACTACTATTACCGACAGGATTTCATTCTTTTCTTTCCTTGCGCTCACCTGATGGTATGATGACAGACAGGGCCGTAGCAGAGGCTGACTTGATGACCTTGTTTCCAGCTCTGGAGTTGCGTTTCTCGCTGTCGCCAGACAAATGCTGATGGCGCGCTCTGCGGAGGACCAGGTCATTGGTGGCCCGGGGCCCCAGAGGGTCGTACAGAGGGGTCATCACATCACGACCGGCTACTGCAGGCCCTGGGGTTAATGGGGCAGTGGGAACTCCTGGTGTCTCTCCATGTCTAGGGGACTTGTCTGTGAGGATGTAGAAATTATCGTTTTTTTAGTTTAAAGTAGCATGACGTAGTCATCTAATGAGGTATTACAGGCTGCTTTGTTATCTCCATCCCCCTGCTAACACACCTGCTCCGTTGATCTCCTTCAGACCGTTCCTCTGCTCCAGGAGGCTCGGTGAGGGGACACTGGTCCCGTCCAGGGAGGTTCCACGGACCTTCATGGGTGCCTGGCGGGACAGGAAGTCTGGCTCACCGTCTAGCGCTGAGGCAAAACGATGTGTGTCCATCAGTGCTGAGAAGCGTCGGCGAGCGCCAAGAGGAGGGCTCGCATCCCCCTCCATGTAGAGGGACTCTGAACAAGACAGGCGCTTCCTGCAAGAGGAAGGACAAAGAAAAGACAAACAGTATCTTCCCTGTAAGAATCCATCATCCAACAAGGCTCGGAGTCTAGAGTCTAGTCTAGGTGCTTTGGGCTTAATGCTAATGTCGGCATGCTAACATGTTCTAAATGGCGATGCTAACATGCTGATGTTTAACAGGTGTAATACTTACCATGAAGCATGTTAGCATGCCAACATTTGCTAATTAGCGCCAAACAAGGTATAGCTGAGGCTGATGGGAATGTTGTTCATTTTGAGGTATTTTGTCATTAATCAAAGTATTGCACACATTTTGACCTGGTGATGGGGCTGGATGAAAAGTGAATGGCAAAGTGATTACAATTCATTCTGAGGTGGAAATGTTCGAATATTCATGATTATCCCGATAATAAAAAGTCACCATGATCAACTTATTGAGAGTGTTTTTTTTTAAATCTCAATCCCCAGAAACAGACCAGGTCCAGGACCAGCAGGCTCAGGAACAACTTCTTCCCCTCTGCACCGGGGTGACATCACCCCCATCAACCCCTCCACACCATACACTTACTTGCACTGCCCACTGTAGCGGTTGATCTCGTGTGCATACTAAATCTCAACATATTCCTCTCACATTGTCCATACTGTTCATACTGTATATATCCAGCAGATTCATATCTAACCCTGTCCATTATATGCATTATTTATATTACCGCATGTACATTACTCTGCTCTTCGCAGCTTTTTTGCACTTTGTGTTGGATGCTAAACTGCAATTCGTTGTATCAGAACCTGAACTGAGCAGTGAAAATAAAGTTGAATCTAATGTTATCTAATCTAGCGTGCAGAGATATTCTGCAATGTGCCAGCAAAGGCGGAAAAGAAGAAGACTGCTCGCTATTAAACATGGATGTACAATGGCTTTGCTGAAGGATACACACCCTGCGTTTTGGTGAGTAACACTGAATGTAAAAATAACTTTTCTTGGTTTACAAGCTCCTTTAATTAAAGAAATGAATACATTTAATGAGCTGTAGCCAAAAAGTAATCATAGCTGGTGAGCTGCTGATAATTCTTACTTGATATGGGAGACAGAAGATCCAATATGAAAGGTAAAAAGTGATGTGCCACCTTCACCTTATTACATTCTCTATGCACTATGAATGCAGAATATATACAGTAAATGAATGATTCTATTTAACATGTGGATATAGAGAGACTGAAATCCAGACGCATGCCTCCTAAAGATTGAGGTGAAATGGAGTTATGAGAAGTGAATGGCAATCAGCCTCTGCTGTGTGCTCTCAGTTGGAAATGTATTAATAATATGAAGCCTGGACTTTTTGTGAGCTGCCTCAAAGCACGACAAGCAAAAGCAACAGAGCACAATTATGTTTAATGAATCTAGATCTCAGGGTCAGAGTCAATTTTTTATTTAAAAGGGCTGAAAAACTAAAAGCCTTCATTCAAGGTAATGTGAGGTCTCTTTTTCAATCCAATATGTAACATCACTATTAGAGTCCTACAGATAATAACTCTAAGTTAACTATCGAGGGTTCAAATACAGTCACATTAAACCACCTGTGACCAATAGCTTTAGATTTACCAGGAATTATCCTTTTGTGTATTTTAATTGGGAAGTTACACAGTGGATTTGAGTGAGAAAAGCAGCTACATTTGCATATTCATCAACAAATCATGAAAAAAGAGACACATCAGAGACATATTGTGTGAGTCATATAAACCAGTCATCCACTTCCACTTTTCCAAACTGTGCAGAGGTGGAATCTGTAGCCTGTTGTTGACTAAAAATGAGTGTGAACTCTCACACAGAGTTCTTTTTAAAGAAGTGTCATAACTGGTGTCAGTGAGATAGAATGCAAAATATATTCAGGCACACTGGGGTAGTTTCAGGGAAGCGCCTTGTGAACACCCTGAGTCCTATCTGAAGTATACAGAACAGCCCCCCCCTTATTTCCCACATGCCTCTACAACTCAACATTCAATAACGCCCACCACTCACATCTCTGGGGATCCGGTCCTCCAGCTCTTGTCTCTCATGCTGAAGCTGCCCAGGCTCTCTCTCTTGGTCACCTTGTCATCCCGCGGGCCCTTGTGCTCCCGACGGGACACGGAGTTGGAAGCTTTGTGCTCCAGCTGAGACAGATGCTCCATGCTGCTGTACACCTGCAGGGGGACACAGTCAGATCAATCTTCATTTGGGCTGTTAGCAGTTATTTATAGCTCTGGGGAAATAGGGATGAGATGTACAGAGCTGTGCAAGGAACCAAGATGCAGTTTGTGGTGTATTAGGATTAAGAATGCTTTGAAAATAAACCTGTATTTCTGACCAGTGGGGAACTCCACCGATTTTACACATCAAAAGTCTGTTTGCAGGTCTTAGGCAGTACTACTGCATATGTGTCTTTTGTGAATCGAAAAGCTGAAACCTGGGAATTTCGGTCCTTTTTTACTTCAAAATGTAATAATTTTCTATCATGCATTATTTAACTAATGATTGCAGCTCCACATCAATAAATCATATTGAATCTGCGCTGGTTTTTGCCACTCTTACAGCTAGACGTGCAGCTTTACTGAGATGGACAGACGCTGCCCCAGCCACACATTATCAATGGCTTGAGAACATAATGTCCTGCTACACTGTACATGGATCTGATAAGAAATTTGAAGAATTGGAGGCCCTTTCTGACGTACTGTCATGGCTCCCATGTGGTATTAGTACTTTGTATTCACCCATTATTATTATTATTTTGCTTTATTTATATTTATTTTATCAACTATTACTTATTCTCTTTTCTCCTATTATTATTATATAGCTATTATATTTGCAGTTGGGTTGGGGGGGATGGGTTTCTGATGTAAAAACATGACCTGCAACTGTAAGAATATAAACATTGCACAAAACTTCCTGGTTAAAAACAAAATAAAAGATTAAAAAAGATAATTATTCAAATACATGTGTGCGTTTACTGCAGACCTCATTATGTGTGTGTATGTATTCAGCAGAGGCTTTGTTTGAGAGAGGTGACTCTACAGCCCTCGACCGTAACTTCAAAAACATCTCATTTAATTGAAACTGAGCCCCTCAATGAGACACTTTTGATTTTCTGAGGAGTGAAGAAGTGACGGGAAGAACACGCTGGCACACTGGGAGAGAGAGTCACAGGCTCGGCCTTCCCTGGATCCAAGTAGCTGTGGATACAGGGGTCACTAATAGGCAGACCGCAGTCCGAGTCCGCACCCAGACGCCGTTGTATCTGGACCCTGGACTTATAACCGATTGATAATTGATAATTATTACATTTTTACACTGCGCTTCTATTTTAACCGGCTTTTCTAGACTTTACGGCATACTGACGTTAATATAACTGTTCGGCTACTTCAATATATATATGTGACTAAATCATAGCGCAAGTTAGACATTTATTGTGATGTTCCGGACCTTTGCATGAGGAAATTCTCTCTAAATGGACCTCGCTGAATTTGAATTGAATACCCCTTGTATAGTGTGATGTCATAGTACAGTGTGATGAGTCATATTATGGTGTGATTTCATAGTATAGTGTGATATGTCATTATACAGTGTGACATGTCATAATATAGTGTGATGTCATAAAAAAAATTGTTAAGTGAGAAACTAAACATGTTGACCAGCGAGAAAAAAAAGAAAAACCCAGTGAATGAGAGAGTAAGAGAGAGATGACAGAGGGGAGGCTGGAAGAGAGACAAAGTCTAACCTTGCTGAAGCGAGGAGAACAAGAGGAGAACTGTCTGATCTCTACCGGCTCATCGTCATTGGTGTCATCCTCGTCGTACGTATTGATGTGGTGATACCGATCCGAGCGGGCTGGCAGGGAAGAGAGAGAGAGAGAGAGAGAGAAAGAGTGAAAGAAAGAGCGAGAGGAGATGAAATATATGAGCTGTCAGTTCAACATTAAAACTGCATTTGTGACTGGAGCCGTTTTCTGACAGAAAATGATTGTACCTCTGGTGCAACAGCTGTACGTTACAGGTAAATAAACCATGAGGAACCTACTGTCAAAGTAGCTGGTGTCCTCCTCTGACTCCAGGTGAGGGATGAATTCTGCCTTCTGTCTCAGCAAACTGTTCCAGTCCAGCTCTGTGAAGAACGGATGCTGCTTCACCTCAAACGCTCCGCCTGGTGGCACAAACAACACACCCTGTTGGCCTCACCCCAAATACAACAAGCTAGAGAACATAGTGGAGCATTTCACAGCTGAAGAGCCAGATATTTCCCACAGGAGTTGGTGGAGACCAAAACAGTATTGGATTGACATCCTAAATTATCCTGACATATTTCAGATTTTTTCATTATCTGGATTTTCTGCGGGTTGTTTGCCTCTGACAACCTGTCAAGTTGCAGTTTACATCCACGTCTGTCCGAAACGTCATCACTTCATCGTCTCATCCTATTAGACATTTGAGTGAAATTGTCATAGTTAGCATATGAATTTGTGAGCTATGTCCAAAAAGGTGGTTTCTGAAGTCACAGTGACCTTTGACCTCCAAATTGTAATCAGTTCAACATTGCGTCCAGGTGGAATTTTGTGCCAAATTTCAAGAAATGTAATGAATAAATGAAAGCCAATGGTGTGCTCTGTGTGTGTGCATGGTTTTAATGACATAAATCATAAAAAATATTGATAACGTATTGTAGAAAAGTGGCTACAAGTGTTATTAATTTTGAAAAAAAATAGAGGCTCCACATGCTATACATAGTGAACTATTAATATTTTTTACAAGCTCAACCTTACTCCTGTTAGTACCTGTACCCAACCTCACAAGAGGGTTGGTCTGCAGCAGGGCGGAGATGAGGTCCTGGGCATCCTCAGGCAAGGCGTCATCGCCATCTGGCCAAACTATATTGTCTGACGGAGACGACAAACAGAGAGCAAAAGGTCGGTGTTATGAGGAACACAGAAATTGCCTTCTTTTGAAGTAGTTTTAAAAATGACAACTCATAGGCTGGTCCAAACTACTGCAAAATTTCCTTTAATACCAGCATGTTGGTGCAGTATTGAAAACTCTGCTCGGACTACATCACATACTTGAGATGCATATTATTGAATAAGAATGACAACTTCGGTAAATTTACTTGAAAGCTAGACATTGACCCAGAAACCCAATTGACTGGAAACACACTGTGAAGCTTTTGATGCAGTCTGTGAGTGTCTTCACAAATAAACCAACACCATTTTCTTACCTGTGATGACCTGTCCAAACAGCTCCTCCGGAGTGTCTCCAAAGAAAGGCACGCAGCCCACCAGGAACTCATAGAGGATGATGCCCATGGCCCACCAGTCCACCGGCTTTCCGTAGCCCTGACGGAGAATCACCTCTGGAGCGATGTACTCTGGAGTACCACACACCTGAGTGATGGAGGGGCGAGGGAGACAGAAGGAGAAAAAGAGAGGAACGGAGAGGGAAAGGAAGATGGGTTGGAGATGCTTGACAAAATCCCACTTGTCCAAGTTACATCATTGTCCATTTTCCTCAAATATTCTTTAAATGGCCCCTTCAGACATGATGTAAGACATGTAAAAATGGTCTGCTTTGTACAATAGTTTGTCTTTGAAATATTTTTTCCACTCCCTTATCTCATTAAAAAAGTTTCCCATGTACCCTCAGATAGTTTTGGTTCAGTTTGAAATCTCTTCCACTAAGAGTTCTGCCTCGGTGCCAAAACGATGAAGTCGAAAGGAGCTGCATCTATCCTGATACGGACACAGTACAATATCCTATTTATTTAGACTGATTAGTAACTAAAAAACGGTGAAAACTTTTCACAACAAGGTCTGTGAAACTTTCAAATGTCACATTTTGAACGATGTAATCTAATCCATTTCCTCAGTGCGGCAGCTGAAGCCAAACAAAACAACCCTTTAACACTAGGGGCAGTAAAATGGAAAACATTTTCTTCCACATTGATGACATGCTCAAGGTTTCATTTCTAATAATCACACACATAGTTCAGGAGATCTGAAAGCGAATACAAAGCACATGACATCATGAGTGAGTGAATGAGAAACACTCTCCAAAATCAGAATCTCTGGTCTGTTTCATCCGCAGTTGTGATTTGATCCTGGCAGATAAACAGATGCCTGCTTCATGCCAGAAGAGCTGACTGATTTCATTCAGAGCATAAACAATAACTATAATTGCTAAAAGCGGTTATTGTGATGGAGATGATTAATGACTCACTAATTCAGAATACGCAGGAAGCATTGTAATGCAGTGTCATCATTTGAGAACCATTGATTCTGCCAGATGACTTGGCAGGTTGGTGCACATGCCAGTCGCCTGTTCGTCCACCAAACATCCTCTCTTACAATTACAAACACCTCGTTCATACGGTCGCTAATTACATGCGTCAGTCTGTAGACTTTCTACTTTACATGGGGATAAAGTACTTCAATTAATGTTCAAAAACCTACAAAACACACTGCTGCTCGGTTATAGGCAGCGTACCTGCTTGTCCAGGAACTCTCTGGCATCTTTTTCAATGTGCCCCTCGTACAGGTTGGTGGTGAGGCTCATTAGACCCATCTTCGACAAGCCAAAGTCTGTAAGCTTGATGTGCCCCATGGAGGTGATCAGTAGACTGTTAGGAGAGAGAAAACAGGCATTTAGCCATATTTAACAGACTATGTGGTTATTTTGTGGTTATTGCTTAAGTGGAGGTATGGACACGTGAGAGCGCCATGCTGCAGACGAATGCACAAAGAAACTTAACATCGAGACCGAGATGCACCCTCATCCCGGGAGTATTTCAGTTTACTTTTCTGTCAGTTTGCCAACATAAATGTACTGATGCTAACCGAGCTCACCGAGCTCAGTGCACGGAAGCAAGAACATGCATTGGAGCTGACCTGAGGCCTGAGGCCTGCCTCCTCTTTTTGAGTGGCAACCGAGGCATTCAGACATGTTGTAGCCACAAGGCTAAGTGTCCATTAAATCCCCTCAACCTAAAAACAAAGGCTTTTACCAGCACTACCCGTGTCATGACGGCTACATTAGATGCCATGAATACTTCATATCTATTGTCCTATTTAAAGGGAGTGTGCCAAACAGTTCTCCTTTCCGTAATTAGCTATGCTGACTTGTCTTCATGGACACCAGACAAGAATTTCAAAACAGCATTAATAGATTTTTTTCCCCATAAACTCATGAGGTAAGAAATCAAGTGAGAACTAGGGTAATTTTACTCATAGACTTCTATACAATCAGACTCCTTTTTTGCCACCAGAAGAGTCGCCCCCTGCTGGCCGTTAGAAAGAATGCAGATTAAGGCACTTCCATATTGGCTTTACTTTTCAGACCTGTAGGGATGCTGCCTGCTTTTTAGCAGCTGCTCCACTATGTTCACCAGCTCGCTGATAACTGTCTGCTGTTTGGTGCTCGGCAGGTAGCGGATCGTAGTTTTATAGAGCTTTTTCACAAAAAACAGCGACCTGCTGTAGCTGCAAACAACGCTGATGAGAGAGGTGAGCTTGTCCCAAAGCAGTTAAGTTGCTGGCTGTAAAACCAAAACAATGTGTTGATATTGCAGCTTTAAACACTCACTTGTCAGGTTTCAGGTCTCTATGGACGATGCCATAGTTGTGCAGGTATTCCAGGGCTAGAACAGTCTCAGCGAAGTACATCCTCGCCAGCTCCACAGGCAGAGCCCCGATGTTCTTCAACAAAGTGGCACAGTCACCACCTGAGAACACAGAGACACCACAAGTTAGTGTTTAAGCGTGTGAGTGGATTTATCCATGTCACAATTCAGAAAGGAAAGGCAGTGTTCCTGCTTGAGAAATGTTGAATGAAAACTATTCAGACAAACGTAACTGAAGCACAGAAAGTCTTCAGGATGACGTAAATTGATCCTCCGATTAAGCAGAATAGCATCATATTATGTGATTCATAATAATAGTGTTCCTGTTGTTTTTTTGGCTTGTAATCCACCTACAGCATGTTTGCCATCACACAATTCACTCAAACTACCCATCATGCCTCAATGTAGAGAGCTGCCGCTGCCAGGGCCGCCTCAATGTCCTGCCTCTACTGCCCTTGTTCGACTTTCATGGTGGAGGAGAATCATTGTGATAATGAAATAAGAGTCTCGTCTCCAGCATATTACTTTCATTTTCTTGAATGTGAGCAGACAAAATCATTATCGGCTATTCAGGAGTCCAGCCGACACTTTTATCAAAATTAAATAAATGAAGTGCGAAGGACGGAAACCCGATCTAACATTTCCTCATACGCCTGACACAGAAAAAGGAAGGGCGAAAAGAACAAGAGTGGTCTCATGAATCATAAGTCCTCCCTCAGTGTAATAAGAGTCTGCAACCAAACCGAATCGGATTCTCTCACCTTCAACATATTCCATGACCATGCACAGATGTCTCCGCGTCTCAAAGGAGCAGAACATGGTGACGACGAACGGATTCTCCGCGAAGGTGAGGATGTCCCTCTCCACGAACGCCTGCTGGATCTGGTTCCTCAGGATCAGATTCTGCTTGTTGATCTTTTTCATGGCAAAGCGCTGACGCATCTCTCTGTGTCGCACCAGGTAGACGGCGCTGGAGAGAAGGTGAGACAGAAGAGCCGAGAGTGAAACCTGAAGGGACTGGTGGTGCCGAGGTGGAGTATGGAGGAAAGAAAGCAAGGTGAGGCAGAGGTGAGACCATTAGGAAGTGTATTGAGTGAGACCACACGTTACAGTGTTAAAATCCCCAATGATTGCTTGTAAGTTGAACAGCACAACACTTTAAGTGCCTTCAAACTATTCTACAGACCGGTGTCTGAATACATGTCAGAAAGTGTCTTTTTAAAAGTTTCCCTTTAAAGTCTCTTTGGATATTGGTGCTTTAGTTATTCTCAGTGGCAGGATGATTCATTCATGCAAAATATACGGTCCATCTATGTTCTTAGCGACCACTCAAAGCGCTTTTCAACACAAGAGAACCTTCATCCATTCACGCACGCATTCATACGCTGGTGGCAGAGGCTACCATCCAAGGTGCCACCTGCTCATCAGGAGCGATAAACATTCAAACGCACACTCAGCAATTTGGGGTTCAGCGTCTTGCCCAACGACACTTCGACATGTCGACTCGGGGGCCAGGGATGATTCCACCAACCTTGTGATTGGTGGACAACCGCTCTAACTGACCACAGCTCAAATATCATAACTCAAATCTAAAATCCAAAAGAAAAGTCAAGATTTGTTCTTGATATGATTTCTATGTGGCGTCAATGAGGTTTCAATCCATCACTTACCCATAAGCTCCATTGCTGATCAGCTTGATGCTCTGAAAATCTTCTTCACTCGGTGGCTTGATGGTTCTCCCTTTTCCCTGGTGACACAATTTAAAATCATAATTGAAATCACCACAAAGGCTGTTTCAATTAAATGTTCAAATGTCGCTGTATCTTTGATGATTTGATGTGTGTGTGTGCGTGTGTGTGTGTGCGATCATGCTGCGTGTGGATACATGTGAACACAGAACCGTCTGTGTTTGTTTGTGCTTCACCTCTGCCGAGTCATCGGTCTCTGGAGTGTGTGGACCCTCACTGTCGTAGCTGTCGAGGCTGATTTCTGTTGAGAAACATGTATGTTAACGAGCATACCTGGTGTCCAAACGGAAATGTTTCAAGCTAAAACACCAGGCCTCCCACACTGCTGTGAGCAGATAACAAAATAAAATTGCAGCTGCTCAGACATCTTAAACAAAACGGATGAAGGGACAAATGTGTCAGAACACAGAAAGAAAAAGATAAAATAGCATCTTCCTATTCATTTTTCTTGTCTTCTTCAGCGGCCCGTCCCCCTCACTTTGTACCTTCTCCTTCCCTGAGCAGCACTGGCGGCTAATTTCCAGTGTTCTTCCACTCTTGTATGTGACAGCTGCTGGAATACACTGATAACAGCACTGTTTTGTCGAAGCAGGGAAATAATTCACTGCTAATTAACTTTGCAAAGTGTTTTTTCGAAGCCGCTCTGTGGATATTAGCTTCATGTATAATAAAAGTCACTGAGCTGACACTCGTACACTCTGTCGGTTTTTCTCTCCGACGCTGAAAACAACCGATCTTGTCAGCGGTCTCTGTGAGGAGCCGAGAAAAGGAAGTGTGAAAGTGTGCAAGCAGTTACGTGGGTGCGCGTGTGTGTCTATGCGTGACGGTGTAGGTGCAAAAGAAAGTGCAAGATCAAGATATCAAGTGGCACGTTGTTAGCAGAGATGAGCTGAGAAAGGCCTGGCAGGCGCGTATTTTCCATGGAAATACAATGGCAGAGGTTCATTGTGAGGAGTCATTCAGGGTGATTTGACCCATCGGCTGATGGAACAGCTCCTGATGGATGAGACCCGGAGCGGCTGAGCAGATGTGAAGAAGAAATGTGAGCCATGATGATTAATGAAAGACGCCAATGCCACCGCGCCACCAGCCAGCAAATGATCCGGCCAGTCTCATCTCGTACATCCTGATGCTGAACAACCAGAAACGCTGATCGATAGCTTAACCCTAAGAGACCCACGTACACCTGTTTCTGTCTTTTTAAAGAGAGAGGGGGGTCTTTAGGGGGAGATGTCACATAGAAGTGGTGTACATCATCTGAAAGCTGGGAACCTGAAGATTTTTCTGGTCATATATCAGAAATAAACATCAATCAATTGGTTCTAAGAAATGACTTACTTCCATCAATTTGGGGGGATAATCCTGATCTAACACCTCACATCTCACAGATATGATGTTGCCATGGAGTCAGTTAGTTAGCGGAGGGCTGTGTTTTGACAAATTGGCACCATTTAAAGTATGCCAAATTAGCTGTTAGCGGTTCCTAGTTGCAAAGTACCCGTGAATGTGCACACACAACTCTCACTGGATTACTTTGGTTCTGGAGGAAACTTAAACAAACGTGATTATTCTCAGGCAAGTTTTTGTGTTATAAGATATATATATATATATATTATGGACATTTGTTTGAGATGGACATCAGCGATAATATCTTCAGGCAGTGTAAGACACACTTCATGTAAAAAATATGTCTGTGTCTGTGACTCTTCAGTTATGACTCCAAGAAGGAGTAGGACTCCTTCCATGTCCACTGGGTATGGAGCTAGAGCCAGGAGAGATTTAGCTCGGCTCAAACTGGAGGCATGGGGAAAGAGCCAGCCTGGCTCTGTGTTTGAGAGATCCACTTTCTAGCACCTCTTAAGATCCCTAATAAACACATTATAGTAAAAACAAGAGGAAGCTTTAGGATGTAATTACTTTTATATAGTGATTAAGTCCTTGTGCCTTGCCATAGTTGGTCAAGAAATAGTGGGAGTTTCTCACGGCCTTCGGTCTTTATGCTAAGCTAAGCTAATCACCTCCTGGCTAAAGCTCCGTGCTAAACACACAGCCATGAGTGGTATCAATATTCTCATCTAACTCTTGGAAACAAAATGGACAAATGCATTTTCCACAATGTTAAACTATTCCTTTAAGTGTTTTTGGTGTTGTGTGGTTTGTTTGAATTCAACGCAAGACCATTTCACCAATTCCTCAGTCTATAAATATTACAAGGGACCAGCCAATGTCTAATAGAAGAAAACCCGCTAAACATATATTTGTCTTTCTCTCTGTCTCTTACCCTCCAGCGGGTCTCTGGTCAGCCCCAACTGGCTGATGATGTATCGAGGGATGTCCGCCTTCATCAGTTGTCCCTCCTTGGCGTGGTCCTCCGCTGCCTCCAGCAGATGGTAAAACTCTTCAGGGTTGAACTCCTATCATTGGAGGGGAAACATTTAAGTACCATAGGAGGTTACAATATAAATAAGGTTTAAACTGTCACAGCTGAAGATCTACCGTCAGAATTCAAATATAGTGTGTGTAGCACAGTGAAAATCATCGCTGCTTATTTAACTTTCAGCAGAAGAAAATATCTTCCAAGTCCACAACGGCAGAGTTTTAACACCTTCCGGTAGGTTGAAACACCAGTGCTGGAGACACATCATCTCTGGAAGTGAACTCACAAAACTCCAATCAGCCTCCTGTCAACGCCAGATGATTGCCACTTCAAAATCAGCACTTGCTACTAAGCGTTTGATGTGTGGGAAGATTGCATTAGTCCTCTCAAACACATTTTCATGCGAGATCAAGATGAAAGTTGTAAGGGACTGAAGGTTTTTCAAACGATCGTACTGCTGAGTAAGACTGGTAACTTGTAGGTATCTCATCACGATATCAAACTTTCATGATGGTCTGCCCACAGTCATGATGGTATCATGATTTAAGTGAGTAAACTGTTTAGTATTTCCAACCAGCAGTCAAAAACTCAAAGACTCACAGACAGACAGTGATTATTGATACCAAATTATTGTTATCTTATTTTTTTATACTCCAAAATATCTGCATCAGCTACAAAAATCCAGTATCGGTCAGAAACAACACGTCAGCATTTTACAAGAGAACGTACCACATTTTATCGCGATAATGATTATTTTTTACAGCAGGGTAATGAACCATGAACTACTTCCTAGTTAGCGGAAACACAGAATGTGATGACTGATATAACCGATATTAAATTGTGTCACTTCTCATGAATGCATTTCGGTAATTCCAGGTGTGCCCAACTTATAATCACCAAAACTGGAATTTACTTTTCACAAATTCATGACCAAACACCGCTATGGGGCTGTCAAACAAACACAATCAGTGTTAATACACCTCCCAACTTTAAATTGCTTTCTTCCCCCCAATGAAACAGTCTCTTGTGGTGTCCTGTGGGATTCTGTTTCATTCCTGTTGGTGGAATAACATTTTGATTGGAAAGCAGAGCCCGGGGCAGCTGGGATCATTTCCTTCCTCCCCTGCTCTCTCATATCTGCGCCCCTCGACCGGAGAAAAAAGAGAGAGGGAGAGCACGGAGTGGGGGAATTAACCTGCCTCTCTGATAGCTTGCTCCGCTCAAGGATAATATCCCTGCAGCTACCAGCCCACTGTCTGTGTGACATTTTCACCAAATCACAACTTGCAGCTGACTTGAATGCTAAACGAACTCGGAGCCCGCAGACACCGTTTTATCTGTGTGCGTGTCTCCTCCTCTCTCACCTAAGGATGGTGAGGATCTTAAGTCATCTCCGCATCCTGCCTGACCCTATCGACCTCCTCTGACGGTCGCCTTGGCAACGGAAAGATGAGCCAGGGGGTGGTTGGAGGAGGGACCACGCCGGAGACGAACACGCGGGGCCATCAATCTGTGAGCTGGTGTCCAGGTATGGCTGAGCCTCCCGTGCATACAGAGAGGCTGGTTATTACTTGGTTAGTTGAAGTGAGTTGTCTTCTGTATGGATCAACATGTCAAGGACACGGTTCTGTCTCCCAGCTGGTTTGATGCGCCACAGAGAAGATCGACAAAGAAGCGGGGGTGGAAAGAATATTTTACAGTTCTGAGTAAAGTTGGAAAAATATCCTGCGGCGATGAGCTCATACTCTTCTGCAGCTAAGGAGAAGTGTAGTGTGTCTGATGACACAGCCGTAACAAAACAATGACCTTGATTGCAAAATACGCTACATTCATACATTCAAATCAAATGTATCAAGAATGCTGACAGTGAATCTACATTTACTGGAAGCAGGTGTACATTAGCAGTCATTTCTGAATGAAAGGGGTCGTAGTAAATATGCAACACAGGTGCAAAAAGGAGGTAGAGAGTACAACTCTGGTACTGTGTTAAGTCAACGAAATGAGAAATCATACCAAAGACTTATAAAAGGGTTTGTTTGCAGCGGTTTTGAGGCCTTCAGTTCAGCATTTTGGCCGTTGCCATATTGGTTTTTTGCAACCAGAAGTGACACGAGAGGGTGGAGCCAAGTACAACCGAACGCTGACCATGACGTTTCCAGGCGACACAAATGTTACAGTTAACTTTGATGAACTGAAAACACACTGTGAAAGGGTTAAAGCTCTAAGATGAAAACACAGACAATACCCAGACCAGACAACGCCTTGGTATCCACCTGTCAATCACAGGTAGCCACACCCTAAAGCATACCCTGCTTTATGGTCTATTATACTCTAAATGGAACTCGTCACTTTCTTGTGTCTGAGTACAAGAAACTAAAATCTATTCAAGTTCTTCTGAAGGCAGCTCTGCAAAACAAATTACGATATGATTCACTCTTGAATAAACAAGGTGGGTTAACATCTTTTTGTTCTAGCAGCTGAAATGGTGGACTGAAATGTACGTGTACATAATATAGTTTGAAAGGCAGCAACAGTTGTGTTACGTGTACACAGTTTTTTCCCTTTTATGATGAAAAAATTCTCAACTTTATCTTTATTTACTTATTTATTCTTTCTTTTCCAGCAAAGGTCTAGGGCACAATGGTGAGATGTTGACTCACCAAACACTCGAGGAGCCTGGCTGGACGAGATATGATGATGAAGAGCTTTTTGACCAGCTCAATGACGAAGGTGAGCTCCGAACTCTCGGAGCGCTCGTAGGCCTGAGAGCGAGGCAGAGACAGGAAGACAGAGAGACAGGTCGGGTCAGTTAGACATGCGCTGGTGTTTCGATTATAGATGACGTTCCTCTCCACTTGCGCGACTCACGTCATTCAGCAGCTTCTCCAGGTTCTCCTGCAGCTCACAGAAGTAGACGCTGGTGATGAGACCCTCGCGTGACTTGGTCAGGCAGTCCCTGGACAGCTCGGCTACCTGGTGGTGGATGAAGCTGAGGACGCCGTCGGCCAGTGGCAGCTCACTCTCTGGGCAGTAGTTCTGGATGAACTCTGCCAGCCTCTCCTCCATCTGAGCCGTGGCCTAAGTGAATGCAAGATGGCGGTTAACAGTCAGTCGCTATCATGATGCCAGTACCGAAAGGTTTTTTCGGCGGTGTATCTCGCCACCTGTCATCGCAGGATGATGCGTCAGCCGTGAAGCACAATCACATCTCTGATGCGCTCTGATTGGGACATCCTCGCGGTTACAATACCTTGACTACTGTACGTTATGTTTGTGTGTGTTGTACAGCTGTCAATTGATGGATATAAACACCTATTTCTGATATTCAACTGCTAATTAACCTCCTTATAATGGCGGCAAGAATGCAGCAATGTTGAGCCTTTATTCTCAGTCCTTTCAAGTGTGCAATTGTGTGTGGGAAGCCTTGTTAGCACTGCTTCACAATGCATTACTGTGAATATACACATAGTGTGTGTGTGTGTGTGTGTGTGTACGTGCAAGTGACGTACATTTCCCGACACACATTTCCCTCTCCATAGAAAATACTCTTTTCTCTCAGACATCGAGTCGTGTGTTTATTTCTCAGCATATAACGCACAAGTCTCAGCATATAACGCACACACGGCCTCCAGGAGTTTTCACACACTGCAGTGTCAACGGCTCACAGAGAGCAGCGAAATAATATCTCCGAGGCCGCCCTCCGACCGAGAGCAGTCTTTATGTTGGAGGTCAGAAGAGGGCGGTAAGCCTCTTTGATAGTAACAACAAATAAAGAGATGACAGCTTTGTACAGCAGGATCAGGATGTATGACGTACAACAAAGCGTCCCATGGTCGAGAGTAAAACCCGGGACACTTCAGTTATATTGGATACATCATTTCAAAAGACTGGGTCGCGACCCTCAGGAGGGTCACACGAGATTTTATGAGGGTCGCCATATACATTTCTCCCATCGTCTTCTATTCAAGGTTCATATCTGCAGTGCACCTTCGAGCCACATGAATGTTCGTATTGTTCTGATAATTGTAGCTTATGACATTGAATCTTATATGGAAAGGCTAGCGTCTCATTCTGTTTATTTTACTGATGAGAGAAAAAAAAAACAGTCTGTTAACTTCACCTCAATGTATTTATATGTTTTCAATAAAACAATGTTGTTATTTGTCGTTTTAAATGACGTTTTAATTTAACATTTTTCATTTCAAAATGTCTGGTTTACCTGTTGTGTTTACCTGTTGTGGAAATGACAAGAAAAAACGATCAGGAAAGTTAATTTATGCCAAAATTCGCTCTTTATAGATAATTTATAGATAAGGCCTGTTGTGAACTGGGTCACAGTGGTTTTTTGGTATTTTTAAAAAGTGGGTCCCCAGAAAATAAGTTTGGGAAGTACCCTAGCGTTGCTCTGGGCATTAGACACCTCCAGATTAGACAGCGATGTCTTGTGAGCTTGTATCATTTTGCAGGAGGTCACATCCCTCCAACTGTTCCAAAATGCAGCAGGCTTTCTGATCTTCACCTTGCACACAACACCCCACCACTACGCTTCCTACATCAGCGAGTAAGTGCTGTCAGATCAACTTTTTCGCCTGGAGCCCTCCTCGGTTCTGGCGAATGATTGTTAGTGTTGTATACTTGTTGTTCTGGACAAAAGGTCTGAATCCTGCCGTTACAAATAATGAACATGAAATGCGAGTCGCTCTGGAAACAAAACAAAAATCTACCAAAAGTTTTAAATGTCATTCAGCAAAAGAAGTGACCACTGACTGCATGCATATTCTCTGTGTGCGTATTTGACGTGTGCATGGATGCACAGGTTACACTTTGTGTATTTGTTTGTGTGGGGCTGACCTTGGGGAAGCGCTCCTTGTAGACATGGTTCATCATCACTATTTCATTGTCATAGCAGGATGGAGAGCGCCCCGGGCTGAAGAGAGACAAACACACAGAGCAGGAGAGTAATAAACAGCACTGAGGGAGAAAATCAGAGACGCAATTCTGTGTTTTTCACTTGAATGAAGGAATAATTCACGAATTCCATGATTCACCCTCATGTCCATCCTGTCCGGGCATTATGCTAATCCAGCGATCTGAAATTCAGCACACTCAGTTTCTCTAATGGATCCGGTGTACTGCATGGGGTACTGACGTCAGACAGGCATAAATATATTAACATGTACACTTTCCTACACACAAAATCAACATGTGGCAGTTAAAAAAAGCCCCAAAAACTCAAACAGTGCTGAATTCACAAAAGCATATTGTAAAAAAGATTTCTAGTGGGCAAACACGGTTTAGCTTTGCAGAAAAGATGTGATATGAATAGAAATAATGAGGCATGTCAAGGTACACAATGAAGGCATTCTGTATACTGAAGTCAGAAGATAGAGATTATCTAGGGCAGCGGCTGCTGAGGAGCTTAATATGAAAACTGAATACTGATAGTGTAGTCAGTAGTGACAAGTTGTATGCAGTGGGGGCATGTTGCATCCAGAGGGGAGGCTATAATAGGTGTAGTTGGAGGCAGCGTACACCAGAAACTTCTGCTAATAGAGAAACTGCTGCACTCTAGAGAGGCTCAAAGACCTGGAGGGTGGACTGATACTGATTTAATAAGAGTGGTGGAAATATAGAAATAGAGTAGGAGTAGAGCGGACATTCCCGTTCAAATCAACGTAGCAGGATGGTCATGGCGGCGGCCATTTTTACGTGTACCTCCATTGCCATTGCGACTGTTGTAGTTAGCTCACTGCAGTGTAAACTAAACCGACTTATGGCAACTTGCAGACTCACTAAGTGAAGTTTTGCAGTAACGACTCAATCGAGTAGTGGAGTAGTAATGTAGGGAGCCAGGGTAGATGATAAAGAAACCTTAAAAAAAATAAGTTATTGCTTCATCCACACACTCTTGACATAGCGTAGGAAACCACATTGCTTTCGCCAGAAGGTTGACAACTTCTCTTCTCATTTTTGTATAACGAATGTAGCATTAAAGCATGGTGGAATACTAACGTACAGCTAGCTAGTTAGCTTGCTTGCTAATTCGGCCTCCTGCTTTAATGCAACGCAGATAATGCTTAACTCTACGTTAGTAAGGTCAGTTCATTATAGATTTTGGAATTTTCATGGAATTTTTTGGCAAAAATACTGAATATCATCAGACTTACTCTTCAATAACTAGTTAATATTGGCTCCACATTGATGTATTCCACCATGAAAATGCAGCTTACGCATAAGTAATACTCAAATATAATATAATACTGTATATACTTTGGATACTTCAAGTACATCTTGCTACAATTATGTACTTTTACATAGCCTACTAGTAAATTTTGTTGAATGCAGTACTTCTACTTGTAATGGAGTATTTTATCGTGTGGCACTTAGTAAAAGGATCTGAAAACTTCCTCTATTGCTTGCTAAGATATAATAATAAACTGAAAGATGAGAAATCAGAAGAAAATAGTATGCACTAATGTACAGTATGTGTAGATTTACATGAACAGGAAATATGTTTGTATTTTCAATTAGCCTCATTTAGAAATCACAGGATAAGGATAACTATTGTCTTCAATGAAATAAAGAGCTAAAAACGGAGTCTCTCCTCGCATTAAATGGCAGCTGCAGAAAATGAAGCATCCAACAGCACTGACAAATCCATAATAGAGCATACACAATAGCAGGTGAATTATACAAGACAAAGGCCTGCGCTCTAAATAAATGATTGAGAGCCCTCTGAGTCTCTTCACGGAAGATTGAAGTTGTTCCCGCACAGTCATTTTCCCGTTCATAATCTTAAAGGGCAGCCTAATGTCCTTTCATGTGAGCTTGGCATGATGTATTTTAATTGCCCTTGTTTATTTTTCTTCACCAAACAATCTCCTTTGGACAATGTTGGCACCATCTTCTGTGGTCACAACACAAACCTATGGCTTAAAAATTGAATCGTGAGTGTTTTGCACCTAGAGAAAAATGTCACAGCATTATTATGTTTTTGTTGAGTCAGCGACTGGGGGCTACATCCTGCTACTAGAAAAAGCCAGCGTCATATTCTTTATATCTCTCAGGGAGGAATTGCGCGTATAAAAAGTTGGCTAGATGCCAAGTTGCTCTTCTTCATTCACTCTCTTTTGCCCATGACCTGCCGTGCTCTCACCTGAGGCTTCGAGAGCGAGGGCGGACGTGCGGCGAGCGACGGCCCCCATCGTCGTCCGTGATGCTCTCGGTGCTGCCAAAGTGCTTGGACAGGAAGTGCAGCTCGTCCATGGTCGGCTGGAAGGGCAGCTGGTGCAGACGCTCCTGGGATGAGCTGGATGACTGCAGAGAGACATGAAAAAGAGACGAAAAAAACGCTCTTTGTTACATCTCTTTAAAAAGCTTCTGTTGCAACACAAATAGTTTACAAATAACGTATCCGGTGATGGAGAGGAGGACATCAAAAAAACCAAGTGGCAAGAGCACCTTAATCGATGTGGTGACAATAAGAGAAGAAAAAGAAGAAGAAGAAAGCACAAGGTGTACTATGAGTGGGTGGAAAGAACTGAAACAAAAAAGCGACTCACTTAAAAGAACAAGGAAGGAAGAGAGAGAGAGGTGGAAAAAAAAGAAAAATATCCAGAAGGAGTTAGTGTAGGAGGGCAAAACAGAATAATGTGGACTGAACACCAGAGCAAAAAGACTGCAGGGAATGAAAGAGTCACTCCACCTAAAAGTTGACTGCTGCCTCTGTGGGGGGGTTAATGGCAGCAGTATACGGCTTTAAACAGAATACTTTTTCTTCAGTGCAGGAGAGGTAAAAAACAGCCTGGATCAATGGCAGGCTTCAATGAACACGTCTCCCAATGGGACACCATGGTTGGTGTTGGACACACAACGATTTCTGCTGTAAAAATCCATTAGAAACTCCATTCAGGTCTTTGCCACTTGCAAGCTGCAGAAAAGCATGTTGTGAAGGCCGTCCGGTCAATCAATTAATAATCAATGAAGAAGCTCCCTGGAGACACAGAAGGTAGGGAGACTGAGGTAAATGCCACTGGATGGGAGGGTTGTCATCTGTCTCGCTCCTTCGTGCCGTCACAGGATGCATCTCCATTTACTTAATTGCAACCAGTTGCGTCTTAGTCACTCTGACTGAAGACATGAAGAGAGATACGTGGAAAGCATGAGAGGAAATAGGAATGGAGGAAATTTGCTTTTAGAGAATCATCATCATCATTATCTGAAGTCAGTTTCCTGACAATGGTGGCTGGATCACCTGTGAGTCAGCTTCAACAGTTTTGATGCCTATAGTTTGTATTTGCACATATATGTACTAATAAAATAAAGAGTGTAAAGTGACCATTTCTAGCGCTTTCACTTTTTCATATTTCCTCCCACATGGCAGAACAGAATGTAAAATGTGTCTCTGAATGTCTTCCCCTATAATAAACAGTTTGAAGCATCAAAACTGTATTTGGTACTTTTTTGTAAACGGACCCATGTCTATAGCAGCAACCTGTTATTTTTTTGATAAAACAAATGTAATCATTACTTGCATCTGTATTTGTGTTTGTATATTCATTATTCATTAATAAATGGTTGTGATGAGAGTGTCTGTTAATTTAATTTGTATAAATGTTCAGGCCTAATTGTTTTTGGCAAAGTGGAAATTATGTAACCGAAAAAAACTGTATACACGTCAAAATATAGCTTCTTCACAGCACTCAGGGATTTTCAGCGTCACATGTTACTTTAACAAAATGGCACAGATGGAAAACATGTTTGTTGTTGAAAGACCTCTTTTTCCTAAAGAGACCAATATATAAGAAACGCCTTTCTGATGACTGACAAAGGTTGTTCCTTTGTTTATCAGACCTAGCGTTCACACATATTAGCTGATTTTTAACTAGATGCTGAATATCTGAACTTGTGAGTGATGTGACAGTTGCATCTGTCCTGGTATAAAACTGTGGTGACGTGGTGAAGCAGTGTCAAAGCAGCCCAATCAGCTGCAGATTTCCAGCCAAAGAAAAATTTGAACCGTGATGTGCAGACATTCGACTGTTTTCTTCACCTGTAACTTTTCATTCTCCGAACTTCCTCCATCTTCTATCCGTGTGTTACCTCCACTTTCCTGCATAAATTTGGTTCTGATCTACCTCTTCATCTAAGCAACTCCTCCACACACACACACACACACACACACACACACACACACACACACACAC